AGATAGCATAATGTATGCGACGCCATAGTTCTTGTGAGTGAAGGAATAAATTCGTGTTTTTAGATCCTTGCAGTAGAAAAGACGTGTGTGGACCAAACGCGATCTGCAGTTGCTCGAATCATGCGGTCGCGTGCACGTGTCCTCTCGGTTTTCACGGTAATCCTACCCCGGAGCAAGGCTGTGTCCGAGTGCCAAACGTGTGTCAAATTTCGCAAGATTGTCCCAGCCAGCATCTGTGCGTCTCGGGATTATGCCAATGCCAGTGCTCGGAACAGAACAATTGCGCGCAGGGCGAGCGTTGCAAGAACGGTATTTGCGTGAAGATATGTTACGGCGATAGTAATTGTCTGCCCGGCGAATTGTGTATTGATGGCGGGTGCGAGGCAGGCTGCACTTCGGATGTTGGCTGCAAACGCGACGAAGTGTGCATTAACAGCAAGTGCAGGTATTGCCTTTTTAATCCAGACATTATTTTATCGAATTATTCGTAAATTGCGTCTCTACTTTTTGAATGTCTGTAACATAACTTATCTCGAGAGATTTGTGACATTTAATTCATTTTTTCAGATGTAGCCACGGATTTATTGCCGGTCCTGAACATTGCCTGGATATCAACGAGTGCGAAGATCAACCGTGTCATCCGAGTGCCGAGTGCATTAATCTCCATGGATCTTACCGTTGCACGTGTCCTTCAGGTACCGCGGGCGATCCTCTAGGATCAGGTTGCGTGTTGCCGCATCAGTGCACCACGCACAGGGACTGTTTTGATACGCAGGCCTGCGTTCAACACAACTGTTCGGATCCGTGCTCTTTAATTGACTGCGGCTTAAATACTATTTGCACTGTTCTGGATCACGCAGCTGGTTGCCAATGCCAACCTGGTTACATCGGCGATGCCTCAGGGTGCTTCAAAGTAGAGTGTCTTTCTAACAGCGACTGCCCAACGGATAAATATTGCAACCAGGAGACCAACAAATGCAGCAGTAAGTTATACGCTTACATTGATATATCGTGTTTGCGTTTAATACTTTAATGTTTTAGTAAAAAAAACTTAAAAAAAAAAATATATATATATATATATACTATCTTCTAAATCTGTTTTTACTTGTTTTATCAGGTCCTTGCAATCAAGTAAACTGCGGATATGGTAATTGCGCAGCCGTCGATCATGTCAGCGTATGTAAATGTTATCCTGGCTTCGTCCTCGTCGGCGATATCTGTGCTGATGTTAATGAATGTTTGCAAAATCCTTGCCATCCCTCAGCTATGTGAGTGAAATTTATAATTACAGCTGATTATGTATAAGCTTACAATTCATAAGTTTTTTTTTAATAAAACATTTAAAAATTGTGTAGATGTCAAAACGCGGAAGGATCGTTCGCCTGTGTTTGCCCACATGGTTTAGTAGGAGATCCATTCAAAACTGGTTGCAAGCAACCCGGTGATTGCTTCACAGATTCAGATTGTCCAAATTCAGCCGCCTGCATCGACAACAGATGTACTAATCCGTGTGACGCACCGGGAATTTGCGGTAGAAATGCAGAATGTCTCGCACGTGATCACGTTCCGATCTGTAGGTGTCCCGGACAAACTACGGGAAATGCGGCAGTGAGTATTAAATTTGAGTCTTAAATTTTCTAAAGTGTTTGACATTATTATAATAATTTGCACACTATAATCCATTATAATTGATAACGATATTTTGATCTTTTTTGAGTATTTCTATAGCTAATTGATTTTTTATTTTATTTTGTTTGATTCTTATTTATTTTTTCTATTTGTTCCAGACGGAATGTATTCATCTGGAGTGCAATTATCACAGCGACTGCAGTCCATCAGATGCGTGCTTCGATCACAAGTGCGTCGATCCTTGCTCTCTTTCGAACGTTTGCGGACATGGTGCTGACTGTTCGTCGCTCAATCACAGCGCGGTATGCACCTGTCAACCGGGTGGCACAGGTGATCCGAATCTTGGGTGCACTCCGCTTCAATATTGCAAGAGTGATTCACAATGTGCAACCGGTTCAGTGTGCAACGGAGGAATATGCACAGGTAAGTTAATATCGGATAATTACAAAAGTAGAAAAATTAATTTGTAAATAATATAATTTATAAATCTACAATTTTTATATACAATGTAATTATTACAACTTGCAGCACTCTGTGGAAGTACAAGAGATTGCATCGGCGATCAACTCTGTATCAATGGTCTTTGTCAGCCCACCTGCAGAAGTAATTCTAGCTGCCCGGAATATCAATACTGCCATAATAACATATGTGTTCAAGAATTACGTTGTACGTCAGACAACGACTGCTCGTACGACGAAAAATGCATTAAGAATAATATTGGACAGGTAATTTTATGTTTTATTAGGTACCAAATTTTAAATTGTAAATAACGATATCTTTTTATCGATTGTATTAGAGCGATAACATATAACGTTTCCTTTTTTTCATATCTCTGTGTCAATCAAGGCGGAGTGTCGCAGAGCTTGCGACGTGATACTCTGCGGCCGTAACGCCGAATGCAAAGCTGATAATCACGCTGCGACGTGTTCTTGTAACCATGGCTTCTTCGGAAACGCTAAAGATGACAAGATTGGCTGTCAACCTATCGAATGTGAGGTCAACAATGACTGTACACAGGAAAAGATCTGCGATTATCACAGATGTAGAATCGCTTGTCTCGCGCACAATCCTTGCGGCGTGAACGCCATTTGCACAACGGAGAACCATGTCCAAGTAATCATTTCGTTGCTTTGTACTAAAAGTTTTTTTTTGGCATCGATCTTTACGATAATGTATTTTGTGGCGTAGGTTTGCACCTGCCAACCCGGATACACGGGAGAACCCACGCGTGCTTGCAAGCTGATAGATTACTGCGCGAACGCACCCTGCGCACCGGGCGCATTGTGCGAAAACACACGAGGGCATTTCAAGTGTCATTGTCAACCCGGCACGGTCGGAGATCCTTATAATAGCGGTTGTCAACCGCCAGTAGAATGCCTGCAGGATGCGGATTGTCCGCTAACTGCCAAATGTGTTAACATCAACAACGTACCAAAATGTTTCGGTACGTGTGTTGAGCTTGCCAATTAATTTTGGAGCATTATTTTACTTCTTAAATTTTTTTAAATTTTATTATTTTTTAAATATAATATATCTCTAATATGCTTGCCCATGACGGATTTAAAAAAAGTACATATTTTTTTTATTATATATTTATTATATTTAATCTTCTTATTTCAGATACTTGCGCACGTATCCGGTGTGGTCCAAACGCAGACTGTGTTGCGAGCAATCATGCCGCGAGCTGTCAGTGTCGTGCCGATTACGAAGGCGATCCTAATAATCTGAGTGTGGGATGTCGTCCGAGACCAGTGGTCTGCTCGTCACAAGCCGACTGTTCGGTCAATACTTATTGTTACGAAGGCATTTGTCGACGTGAGTAAATAATTGCTTAATTTTAATCAACGTTTCCGTATGGCTTCAATCAGAGTGTCTATGTGAAAAGCAATTCTTCCATTGTTATATTGAATAATGTAAGTAATATTATTTCAGCATCTTGTCAATCGGAGGAGGAATGCAACTTGTCCGACGTTTGCTTGAACGGGCAATGCTTAGATCCATGCGATGTAAGAGGAGCTTGCGGCATAAACGCCGAATGCAAAGTCAGAAGTCACATTAAACAGTGTAGCTGTCCACCAGGCTTCACCGGCAACTCCGAAGTAGAATGTGTTAGACGTAAGTGTACGAATGATTTCACAACATTTGAACATCTTCTGATTAATATCTTATTGCAAATTCTAAAAAATGCTCATTATTTGCAGTGCCAGTGTCTTGTCTCGGAAGCGGGGACTGCATCGGAGGCAACACCTGTCGTGAGAACGTTTGCTTGCCGATTTGCACCGTCGACAACGATTGCGCATTGAATGAGAAGTGCATTCGCGGCAATTGCTTGCTGACTTGCCGGCTGGACAACGACTGCTTCCTGGGTCATATTTGTTTGAACAACATGTGCTCGTTCGGTTGTCGTGCCGACGAGGATTGCAACGCGAATGAGGCTTGCTTAGGGAACAAGTGCGTGAACCCGTGCGAGGCTACGCCGTGCGGACCGAACGCCAAGTGCACTGTCTTCAACCAGCGTGCCACGTGTTCGTGCTCTACCGGTTTTATACCAAATCCGACGGCCAAGGTCGCGTGTCTGAGAACGCCGGGTTCGGTCTGTCAGGCCAATCGGGACTGCGCCGTGGGCACGGCTTGCATCGCTGGCGTTTGCACACCCGTCTGCTCGTCCAACGCGAATTGTTTGAGCAACGAGAGATGCGACAGCTCCGGCATTTGCAAGTCACTTTGCAGACGGGACGAGGATTGCAGAAGTGGTGAGATTTGCGAGGGGCTGGTGTGCGTTTCCGGTTGCCGGGCGGACATTGAATGCCAGGATAGTTACGCGTGTATAAACAACCAGTGTTTAGGTGGGTCCTAACGGTATTTTTTATATCTTTATTCTTAGTAATTCTGTTATGTTGAATTTACTTTTGCTTGTCTGCATCTTATTTTTCTTGGTAAATATAATGTTTTCTATTATTAATCTTTATTATTATATCCAATTATTCTTTGCTTGCAGATCCGTGCTCGTTGACCGGTGCCTGCGGTGTAAACGCCAAGTGTACAACCGTCAATCACCAAAAAATATGCACGTGTCCATCACCTTTGGTGGGAGATGCTCGTATTGGATGCAAGCAGACATTCCTCCCCTGCTCATCTGAACTCGAATGTTTACCGGGACAAACGTGTTACGGCAGATCGTGCTATTCCACGTGCAGAAGGTGAGAATGCGTGACTAAACTAACTGCATAAAATTATCATTGTGTTTCGATGCGAAATAATTATATCTTTTCAGCGATGCAAATTGCTTGAGCGACGAACGGTGCGACGGCGGCATTTGTAAAGCGATATGCAACAGCGATGACCATTGCGTCGCGAATCAAATATGCCGCAATCGCATGTGTGACATTGGGTGCCGCAGTGATAACACGTGTCCGGGCGACGAATCTTGTATCAACAATCAATGCAGAAGTAAGTTTCACGTATGAGATATTGCATACGTTAGATATGTCTATCTCGGTCGAGCAAAGTAATGTAACTGCATTGTGATTTTCAGGTCCATGCGACGGTGGCAAGGCGTGCGGAGAATGCGCTGGCTGTCGCGTAGTCAATCACGTGGCTCAATGTAGTTGTCCCGCAAATTATTACGGTAACGCATTAATCAATTGCGCCAAGACCATGATTCCCTGCGACGGCTCGTGCGAGTGCGACGAAATCGGTTTCTGCACCACTAGCTGCCACCATCAGAACGATTGTTCTTGCGGCGAGGTCTGTCATAGTGGCAAGTGTCGCATCAAGTGCGATATCAACAACGCATGTCCAAAGGTAAAGTTTAAGATAAATTCAAGAAATTTGAGACAGTATTGTCTTTTTTTAACTAATGTTGACATCGTGAAGTTTTTAATCTTAAAATTACACGTTTTACTAAATTCAGGGCTACGTATGTGATGGAGGTTTGTGCCTCGTCGGCTGTCGCACCCATTCTGACTGCCCGTCATCCTTGTCGTGCACAAATGGCCAGTGCGAGAATCCATGTTCCGCCCATGGATCGCCTTGCGGAATAAATGCACTCTGCCGCGTCTCGAGTCATCGTGCGGTGTGCTTATGTCCAGAGGGCTACCAGGGTGAGCCGAGTCAAGAGTGCTACCAGCTGGAGTGCCATCATGACGACGATTGCGAGTTGAACAAACATTGCAGCGAATACGGGGTTTGCACAAATCCATGTTTGCAGCACGGCGTCTGTGGCTTCAATGCGCAGTGCCGCGTGATCAACAGGAAAGCACAGTGCTCTTGCCCGCCGGGACATTTTGGCAATCCAAAGATCAACTGCAAGAAAGGCAAGTCCATTATATTTGTTACAGAAATTGTACTTGTGAACAAAAGATTAATTTTTTAACACGCGCGTTCTTTGCATTCCTTAATCATTCTCAGGCGGTGACGAATGTCTGCGAAGACCTTGCGGCGTTAACGCTAAATGCCGAGAAACTCTGAATGGTTTCGAATGCACGTGCGATCCGGGATGTCACGGCGACCCGCATCAGGTGTGCCTCTGCGATGGTGATCTTTGCAAGGACACTCGTTGCGGCATCAATGCAGCCTGTCGAATTTACAAGAATCAGCCGCAGTGTTATTGCCCACCGAATAATCCATCGGGCGATCCAATGCACGCATGTACGTATTACTTTTTTACTGGATTTAAAGCATACGTTAATAGAAAAAATAACAATACTAGCTGCCTACAAAGTAAATTGAAGAAATTTTTCTACGTATATCATTATTGAAACGAATAAATAAAAATTAAAAAAAAAGTATATAACAAAATATGACTACTCGATATCTTAAAAATATCGTGGCGAGACAACAAATATTCGTTATTTATTCCTTTGGTTGGTATTGTCATTAATGATTTGTTGATACAGGTAGTTCAGATAGAGATTTAGGAGACTGTCGAACAAATGGATGCGGAAAGAACGCCGAGTGCATTAGGGATGGAGCTATATTCGTCTGTCGGTGTCCACCAGGTACAAGCGGTTCGCCAGATATCGAGTGCACAACAGGTAGGAAAATACAGCCTACTAACTTTTTAACCGAGTTTAACCGGTTGATTAATTATATGTACAGCATTTGTGACTAGCGAGTAATACTGACAATCACAGGAACATGGTCCGTAGAATAACCATGTATCGTTTAGTAGGACTTGAGTAATACATAGACGTATTAATCGAGTGAAAACGTTAACATCGAGAGACAGATGTGATTGGAGCAGTATGTCGCCACGACATAGGATATATATACATATTTTACCCATAAGTAAAGAATACAACATTACCTGTACATATTATACAATATAGGACATACTGTACATATATTTGAGATGAGAGAACACACGTTTCACACATATCTCACACATAACTTCATATGTAGAATGTTTATTTCAGTATCCAATCTGTCTTGAGGATATAATTGAATAAACAAAAAGACACTCATTTGCCTAATAGTGCCACTTGAATACAAGGAGGTACACATTTACAGTCGACACCATATATATCTCTATTTTAGGATTAATACAGATTGGGAACTGCGAAAGGGACATTCTCATATACCCATGCTTGATATTTGCTGATATTCACGGGTTGTTATTTCCTCCTATTCTGAAATCTGTGGGGGCTTGTGTTGTAAATATCGCTGCTTGCCGTTGTAATTTCTCTGAGAAGATGTCTGATGTTTTGAAAAAGTGTAAAGTCGTTACTCTATACCTCTTCACAGAGCCTACCCTACTTTCATCATAAATACAAAGCATGTGGTTTATGTTATTTGTGAGAAAGTTTCTTTTCACAGTTCTTATAAATGCTTTTTTCTTTTTTTTTCCTGTCCCACCACCCACGACCCACCGACTCTACACCGACTTGAACACCACTATCGTGACAATAGAGCGCGAATGCACCAGCGACTTAGAGTGCCCCAATGAAAAAGCCTGCATAAATCTACAATGTCTGGACCCGTGCGCGCTACGCGGTGCCTGTGGGATCAATGCTCTGTGCAGAGTGGTTCTGCACAAGCCGCGTTGCTCGTGCCCGCAGTGCTATATCGGCATGCCCCACACGGCCTGCCATCCAGATTCCAAATGCGACACGCTCAATCCCAAACCTACGCCGAGCATCGGTTGTTCCTCCGATTACGACTGTCCGGAGAGTCTCTCCTGCCACTCGCAGACAGGCGAGTGCCGCGACCCGTGTTTGAGTCCTCGGTATACCTGCGAGGTCAACAAGAGGTGTCAGGTGCGGAATCACAAACCTATGTGCGTTTGCAAATACGGCTTCGTAGTCAACGAAATCGGGGAATTGACCTGCGCCCCTGACACACTTACCTGCTCGAGAGACTTCGATTGTCCCTCGAACGCCGCGTGCGTCAATGGGAAATGTCAAAATCCCTGTAACGTGCGAAGCAAAAAACCGTGTCCGGCTGATAAAACCTGCGATGTCCTGGACCACCGTCCCGTGTGCATTTGCACCAAAAACTGCAATCCCTCCCTCTCCATTTGCCTGCGAGACAGTGGCTGCTCTCCAGACTTGGCGTGCCGTAACTATCGCTGCGTGGACCCATGCAGAAACTCCACCTGTCCGGCTGATGCCCCCTGTTACGTGGAGGAGCACAAGCCTATCTGCAAGTTCTGTCCCCCCGGCTTTGTGCCAGATACTAAATACGGATGCATGAAAGGTAAACACAATTTCTCAGAACACTATCTGAGTCTTGTCATTTCTCATAGCCGTTATCACATCTTTACATTGCCTGGCCTTACACGAGACATACAATTGCTACTTTTCAGGTTTCCGATCGTACAGACAGCAGAATATGCGCAAAACTTGATTACTCTTCACCAACTTGATTTTAATTCTTTTTCTTTTTTTTTTAATTTATAAAATCGATTTTGTAAAGTTATAGTTAGATGTACAGATTTCTTTGTTCTGCTGTCTGGACGCATATTTCAGATTCCAAGTTACAGATACAAATTTCCCATACCCTAAACTTCCACTCTATTCTGTCGATCTCCTCACTACTGAAGGATTTTTCCGTTACATCTGTCTCTGTAAAGACCTAATAATGTTTCTTACAATCAGCTTATCTATTATATGCGAGCATGCTAACTCTTAATTTGTAGTAATTGAAATAAACTATAAACTTATCTGTAGCCTAGTCTAATCAGAGTCGCTCCCCAATTAGCAGTTTTGCCACTTTATCAGATACTATGTTTACGTTATATTGTATCCGCAGCAGTTCTTCATCCAATGCCCAAGCCAGTTTGCGAGTCCGATGATGATTGCAGTGACGCAGAAGCATGCGTCGAAAGCTCTTGCGTTGATCCCTGCATCAACGGGTGTCAACTGGCAGTTCAGTGTCGGGTTGAAGCACACAGGCCTATTTGTGGTTGCGATCCTAACGACAAACGTTGTTCATCTGGTGGTGCAACGACGTTACATTCTATAGATTTAGATCACACTTTTGAAACAGTCCACACTACGTTACAAACATCAGCGAGTACTAGCATTCCGCCCTTCACACTACCCATTTCTACTACGGAGATGTTAACTGTTATATACACGGAGGAAAGCACGGTTGCTTTAACTGACGTTACCGGAAATTTATTGGAAAATATTACTACTGAAACGACAAATGAATCAAACACGACTATTGCACCGACGGAAATTGCTACTGAGTCTTCGGAACGTACGACAACCGTATCTTCGATATTAAGTACAACCGAAATTAATATTTTAAATGGTACTTTAATTTCAACGACAAACGTTGATACTTTAGAGAATATAACATCTAGTCCTTTTACCACTCCAACGTCTGAAAGTACTGATTTTGAAGTTGAATCTACTTCAACAGAATATACAGCAACAGCAAGTACTGTTACTTCCGAAATCGAACAAACCACTATTTCAACTATGTATAGTACAGAAGAGACTGTTACAGAAAGTATGCCTTCTTCGACAATTGGGACAACAAAGAGTGAATTTGACACTACAACCGAAATAACTGGAATAATTGTCCTTCAAAATGTCACTGCCACTTCTCCAGTTACATTCAGTTATACTGAGATTACTGATATCACTGTTTCTGATCAAAGTACTGAAACAACAACGATTTCTAAGACAACGGAAGCAAGTAGCCTTATTGAAGTTCCTGAGAATATAACTGCAGTTCCTACCACAGAAGTTCCTAATGTAAGTGATGAAGAAACTTTCACAGTAGCAACAACTACACCTTTTACTACTACTACACAATATTCTATCACAGAATTAACAGTAAAACCGTTAAAGGAAATCACTGAAACACATATGGAAAGTACCACTAACGCAATGACTACTACGACATTTTTTACGCAAACAGATCATACGACGTCATCTCTAGATATCTTGGAACATACCGAAACATCTACAATAAATATTGAACGTGATACTGCCAAAGAAATTACACAAGAATGGAGCACTGCCAAAACTGGTTCAGTTGATACAACTGAGCCATATGTGAAAGATACTACTCCATTTTCTATCATTACATCTGAGTCTCCTATATTTACGACAAATATGATTGATGTCGACAGTTCTCACAAAGGCACTGATATTTCTGCAACAGAACAATCTTCTATTACCGAGCACATCACATCTCAATTTACCACGGAGGAATACTCAACAGAACAATATACTACTTTGAAACAGTACACTACAACTGAAAAATTTACAGGAGAGATTTCTAGTACAGAACATTATAGCACATCGGAACATACTACAGAGGAACATTCCACCACAGAACACCTTAAGACGTCAGAACAAACAGAACCATATACTACGTTTGCACAATCTACTGAACAGATCTCCACTACGAAGCAATATAGCACGCCTGAATATTCTACAGAAGAATATTCTACAGAAGAATATTCTACCACAGAACAGTTTAGAACATCACAGCAACCTACAGAACAATATGCTACCTCGAAACAAGAGTCTACAGAACGGATCTCTACCACAGAAGAGTATTCCACTACAGGATTCAAGACCGAACAACCCACCACATTTGAACAATCTACAACAAAACAGATCTCTACAGAACAATACAGCACATTTGAATATCCATCTGAACAGTTTATTACATCTACGCAAGCGACACAATATAGTACAACCGAATACTCCACAGAGGAATATTCTACCACAGAGCAACTTGCTACATCCAAAAAATCCACAGAGCAATATTTGACCACAGAATATTATACGACGCCTGAAATCACTCAGAATAAAACAGAAATGTTTTGTACCTTACATACAGATTGTACAGAATGTGAAACTTGCATCGATGGTCTTTGTCGGAATCCATGTAAAACTGACAATCCATGTCCAGAGAATGTCTTATGCGACGTTGCGAATCATCGGCCTGTGTGCTTAGACTCAAGTACCGAGCAGAGTACGTCTAATTGTAGCGTACTCCCAGGTAAAGATTTCTCTTGTTGGGAGTTCCGTAATTGTGGTGTCATTTTATGTTTACTGTCACCGATGTTCTCTACAAACTTTCTCCAGTGAGACCATATTATCGTATCCAGATAAAAATTGGAAGCAACCAATTCTGGAGATTTGTAGACACTGCTTGCCGAATCAGTCATTTCACGAAATGGCTCTCATCGGTGTAAATTCATGAATGAGAATGCGATCGATACCATAAGGGCGGCCTATAAATCGAACACCTATCTGTCCCATGATCGAATCGAAAATTGTCAATAGGCAGTCAGACACTGCTTTCCCAAATGCAGACAAAGGACTGCTGCATTAGCGCTCTACGCATGATGTACATTAACGCTTATGCACGATTTTCTCTCTTACAGCTTTTTTGTATCTAACATATGTATAATGAACTGCAATTTCAGTCGTCTGCATATTCAGAGAAAATTATCTTTCACACGAATTTATTTATTTATATACATTAATGTTATATTATCGTTCACAAATATAAAATAAAATTAGAATTATTATAAGTTGTGAAAAAATTAGAACGTCTATGAAAGATAACTTTGCTCAAAGTAGACGCGTCAATGTTTTTTTTTAGCTGCTATATTTACTTGACACATGTAACACAAATATCACTATATGTCTTAAAGGAAAAAGTACATTGTCTTTGTGTATTCATGTTTATGTATTGCACTGACAACACCCATGTGATAAATCTAAGTAAATGTGCATTGTTTCATAGCTGCCGTTTTTGATAGAACATATCAAGATGGCAGTTAAAACTGAGGTCAAATAGATTTTTTGTTGGGACATGTACATTAACATTTCATGACGTTTTAGTCGTTTATTAATTCCTGCATCTAATGTACATTTGTTTCGTTAGACGTGAAATGTACAACGCACAACGACTGTCCCATCCAATTGGCCTGCGTAAATCATCAGTGCGTGAATCCTTGTGCTTTGGGTAATCCGTGCGACTTCGTCGAAGCTTGCCATGTTCAATATCATAGGCCGGTCTGCGTCAAAGGTACATTTGTAATTAAATTGAGCAGCATTTTGCATATCCGCAATAAAAAAAATACTTATTTTATACGATTCTTTCAGTGGAGACTAATGAGGCTGAATGTCCTTACTGCCCACCTGGTATGCTGTGCGACTCATCGACAAACACTTGCATCAAAGGTTCGTGTTACCGCCAGCAGTGTGCTTGGTATCATTTGATTTTATTTTCAGTCTTTTTTTATAGCCGTCGAGAGATTTGTAAATATGTATGTACTGTACATATATCTCACGTACATATTTCGCAAATTATATGTAAGACCTTCTTCACAAAGCACAAAATGTTTATTCTCGTTATAACTGTCGTGCATGATCACGAAGAATGATCTCCTTGAGATATTCGTCATATTCTTTCTGAATACGTCTCTCTTGTATCGGAGAATGTTTTTCTCTTGATTCATAATTCGCATACTTTTTCGCACATAAAGATCAAGAGAATCACATTGCTATGCAAAAATAAACCTCCCTTTATCTCAATTCTTATACTTGTGCACACTTCCTGGGGTTATATGGGCTTTCCCACTCTTTCTCTAGCGGGTTGCACTAGCGACGGGGATTGCCCCCCGACAGAAGCGTGCATTGGGCACACTTGCCAGGAACCGTGCCTAGTTCGAAATCCTTGTGCGGAACACGCTATTTGTATTAATACGAACCACGGAGCGGACTGCAGTTGTGAAGAAGGCTATCACGGAAATGGATTTTCCTATTGCGATTTACGTAAGTTTCACAATGAGATGTGAAATCAATATTACTACTTGAAATAGCGGGCAATAAAATTACACGATATAAATCGATAATATTTTCTCAAATATTTAGAACACTTGATGCGAAAATCTAATGCAAATTATTAATAAATGTATGTAAAAATGTAAATTAACATATCCTATGATTTCAGTGGAAGAAACGAAGAATATTTGCCAATACAACGAAGACTGTCCTCCGCACAAATATTGCGATCGACTCAACAGGCAGTGCATTAATCCTTGCGTCGAATTTGATTGCGGAGATAATGCAAAGTGCGTCTCCAGTAATCACCAAGCGCAGTGTACGTGCCTTCCAGGTTATCAAGGAAATCCTCACATTGGCTGTCAAGAGATAGTGTCGACTGTCGATCCTTGCGTTCCAAATCCGTGCGGTTTGAACGCTTTATGCGAAAATGACAATGGGAATCCTGTCTGTTTCTGTCCAAAAGGTCTAACCGGAAGTCCATTCGAACAGTGCAGTACGTATACATTTTTTATGAAATATAATTGTGACGACCGTCTATATTTAAATTATATATATATATATATATAATTTTTTTATATCTTTTATAATTATAACAAATCATCTATTCTTGTAATGTATCCAGTTCCCGAAGGTGACCAGTGCGAAGGTAATCCCTGCGGCGCCAACTCAGGATGCCGGGTGGTGAATGGACAAGTGAGGTGCTTCTGTTTGCCAGGATACGAGGGTGATCCGCCGCATTTCCCCTGTACACTTCCTACTACCTCCTGCGATCCTTCTCCTTGCGGTCCCAATACTCGCTGTTCCGTGTTGGACAATGGCTTCGCGAAATGTACCTGTCTACCTGGCTACATCGAAAGCCCGAACACTATTAGAGGATGCGTGCCAAAAGCTGACCAGTGCGAATTTAATCCTTGCGGTTTTGGGGCGAGATGCAATAGCACGAGGGTACCGCCTTGTTACTGTCCAGATCTCATGATTGGAAACCCATACAAGAGTTGTGGAGGTAATTATTGCCAATAATTGAATAGTACAAAATGAAAAGAGTTTATTTCCAAATATTAAAATTATCAAAAATTACATTTTGTAATTATAAATTTTTTAACTAAACCAACTATTGAGTCTGTGTGTATAAATTCCTAAAAACTTTATTGAGCTATTTTAATTTAAAAAAATTTTTAATGTTTTATTATTTGTATTATCTTGTTTATAAATTTTTAATGTATAATATTAAGTTCAAAAGCTTTTTGCGGTCTTTACGATTAATATCTTAAATAACATAACTATAATAAAACATTTTAAACAATTTTAAATACTCAACAATAAAACGTTTTACTATTATTGCAGCACGACCAGCGGAACCATATGATCCTTGTCTATTATCACCTTGTGGCAAAAACGCTATTTGCACGACGATCGATGGCATAGCCAAATGCACATGCATACCGCCATTTATCGGCAATCCCTATATAGATGGTTGCGAGGCCGAGTGCATCATTAATCGGGATTGCGAAAGTCATTTGGCTTGTTTCAATCAACATTGCAGAGACCCATGTCCAGGCGTATGCGGCGCTAATGCGCATTGCGAAGTCGTCGATCATCTTCCGATGTGTTCTTGCTTGCCAGGATATACCGGAGATCCGTTCAGAGCCTGCAAAGTAGAGAGACCTCGTATGTGGACATATTTTAGTTTATTACTTTTTATATGATTTATTGTTTCATTTGTTATACACAATACTGCACTAATTTAGATAATAGACCATTTTTTCTTAAATTTAAAATATCTAACGTGATAAGTTGTCAGTTTGTATAATTTTTCAAAATTTTTATGTCTGCTTTTTTCATAAAATATTTTATTATAATTTAAAATCCCTATATATGTGATAATATAAAGTTGAATGATAGATTTAAATTAACTGTAATAACAATATTAATATAATGAAAAGTCTAATTCATTTTTTGTAGTAGTGCCAGATCAGAATCCGTGCATGCCATCACCATGCGGTCCACACAGTATCTGCCGTGTAATGAACGATCGTGCAGTTTGCTCATGTAGCCCGGGTTATCAAGGCACTCCGCCGCATTGCCGTCCGGAGTGTCTCGTCAGCACGGAATGTCCGGCTCATCTGGCTTGCATTAATCAAAAGTGTAATGATCCTTGCCCAGAATTGTGTGGTTTGAACGCTGATTGCCAGGTCATCAATCACAACCCGATCTGCAGTTGTCCTCGTCAATACGTCGGTGATCCATTCACTCATTGTGCTAAGGAAGGTAATACATTATGTTAGCGCACTTCAGTTAAAAGGGGATCCCTGTTAAACAAAGAATGTACCTTTCGAGTTTGTTCTAATTATGAGAAAGTATTGCTAATGACGTAGAAAGTAAGATAGTAATTAAAATTAGTTAGACAGTTAATTTTCCGACGCAAAGCTCTCTAACGAGAAGATTTATGTCGCAATAAGAAATATGTAATAAAATTGAAAGTAGGTACTCATTAAAATTTAATTTTTCGGAAATTAAATAAGTAATGTACTCATTGCCAAGCTAAGCTTTTATAGAAATTTAATACTGTAAGTGATTTTTAAAGCACTGTTAATAGTGCTTTTAATAGTGCTTTTAAATGATTAATCACTAGCCAAAAACAGTATTAAATTTCTATAAGGGAGGTGAGAAGATTTTTCGAAAAGATACATAATATTTAATATTATATATTGTTTTTCGAATATATAATATAAAGTGGTAAATAATATTATTTAATCCATCTTTTTAGAACCTTTACCGCCAACAACGAATCCTTGTTTGCCATCGCCTTGCGGACCTAACGCTGATTGTCGCGTCCAAGAGGATCATCCGATATGCACGTGTATTAGTGGGATGTTCGGAGCACCGCCGAATTGTAGGCCAGAGTGTGTGATCGATCAGGACTGCATTAGCTCCTTAGCTTGTATTCAAAAGAAATGCTTGGATCCATGCGTGGGATCATGCGGTTTTAACACGAATTGTACGGTGCTGAATCATCGACCTATATGTCATTGTTACGAAGGCTATGAAGGAGATCCTTTCTCAGGCTGCGCTAAAGGTAAGATTTTAACAATATAATCTTAAGGCTCCTGGATGGTCACCGCGGCCATATTGGATTCTTACTATCGAGGCGAGGAAAACACCCAATTTTGTTGTGCATGCCATTTTCAAATAAAAAGACATTTCAATAAAACATCACTATAGATCGTTTCAGAACACTTCCGAAATTGGCCGAAAAATACCCTTTTCCCTCGACAATAAACAAACAGCCATAAAACGAAGCCTAAACATACGGGAAAAACAGCCGTTTAACGACTATCGAAAGGTGGTGAAAACGTTCCTTCCGCATGTAAAGCCCCTTACACAATGCCAGGCAACAGGCAATAGGAACAGGGAATAGAAATCAGAAATCATGTATAAATGCAGAATAAACAGTGACACAGGCAATAGACACAGAGTTTCCGTCACGTTGGAAATTTTGTGCCTATTGCCTGTTGCCAACCAATCATAGCATTCAAACTTTTTAGGTTGTAATTAATGATTTTTTTGTTATTTCCTGTTCCTATTGCCTGTTGTTTGGCATTGTGCAAGAGGCTTAAATCTTATTTTTCGGCCAATTTTACGACTTTCACGAATACGTTAAACGTTAGAGCACAAGCACAGAGCGAATAATAAAGAAATAGCACGCACAACAAAATAGGTTGTCAACATCACGGTCGTGATAAGTTGACATATTATTGCATATTCCGGATAAACACACCGGATTTTTGCCCTATAGCTGTCTTCCCAGCGCAATTGCCGTGCGATCCTTCACCGTGTGGTACAAACGCCGTATGTAAAGAGCGTAATGGCGCGGGATCTTGCACTTGTCTGCCCGATTACACTGGTGATCCCTACGAGGGCTGCAGACCGGAATGTGTTCAGAATACGGATTGCGTTCACACGAAGGCTTGCATTAATAACAAATGCAAAGACCCGTGCGTGGGAGCGTGCGGAATTAACGCGCAATGTCAAGTCTATAATCATCAGCCATCCTGTAGTTGCCTCTCCGGTTACACCGGAGACCCACTTACGTCTTGCCACATACCGATAAGTACGTCGGTGATATTTTTCTGACCTTTCTGACATAGCTATAAAATCAGAAGGAGTTTAAACGATTTATAACGTGATCTATTTCTCATAGCGCCTTCAGTACCAGGTGATACGTGCCAACCATCTCCCTGTGGACCGTACAGCAACTGCCGCGTTATTGATAATCACGCAGTGTGCTCCTGTCAACCTAATTACATTGGCAGCCCACCGTCGTGCCGACCGGAATGCGTAGTCAGCACGGATTGTAGCGCGAACACAGCGTGTATCAACCAGAGGTGCAAGGATCCATGTCTAGGCACGTGCGGTGTGAATGCAGACTGCCGGGTGATCAATCATAATCCAGTATGCATCTGTGCGATTGGCTATAGCGGAGATCCGTTCTTCGGTTGCGTTAAGGAAGGTAAGTTTCAAAATTCTTTTAATTACATCGTCTTGAAACTTTTATCTTCAATTTTATATACACTTTCAAATGTTCTCATTATTTGAATCACTTGAATTACAAATTAATACAAATAAGAATTGAATACATTTACGCGGTAGTTTATATACAAAACACATACACTGCCCTAATGTATTAATGCGTAATTATAGAAGTAACACCAATACCGAGACCAAGCGGCAATCCTTGCGTCCCTTCGCCATGCGGACCGAATTCCCAATGTCGGGTGATTGACGGTTTTCCGGCGTGCTCATGTTTACCGAATTACGTTGGCCGCGCACCAAATTGCCGACCGGAGTGTGTCATAAACGAAGGATGTCCCGGAAATTTGGCATGTCAAAACGAACAGTGCGTGGATCCGTGTCCAGGCTCTTGCGGCGTAAATACGTATTGCAATGTCGTAAAACACAATCCTGTCTGCATCTGTAACGAGGGCTACACGGGCGATCCGTTCACGGAATGCATACCCATCGTAGAAGGTATGTGTTTCTTTGCGAAGAGCTTGCGAAGTGTTAAAGTGTTAAAAAATATATGGTTATTCTTATTAGCTATTTATTTCCTAATAGTTATTACCTAATTATATATTAATTAATTATTTTCAGTGCCTATTACGACGGAGCAACCACGCACACCGTGCAATCCGTCGCCGTGCGGCGCCAACGCAGTGTGCAACGAACGAAACGGCGTTGGATCCTGCACGTGCCTACCGCAGTACTTCGGTGATCCGTACATCGCTTGCAGACCCGAATGCGTGACTAACGCCGACTGCGATCGCAGCAAGGCCTGTCTGAACAACAAATGTGTCAATCCGTGCCCCGGCACTTGCGGCCAAGACGCTACTTGCCGTGTGGTCAATCATGCCCCGATGTGCTCCTGCCTACCTGGTTATACTGGCGATCCGGTGAACGGTTGTACCATCATCGATGTTGTGACACCATTGCCCGTGCCGCTCAATCCTTGCGATCCATCTCCGTGCGGACCCAACAGCAACTGTCGAACACACGACGGACACGCGGTGTGCCTCTGTCAACCGGGATTCTCCGGAGTTCCACCGACCTGCCGACCGGGTTGCATTGTCAGTTCTGAGTGTCCGCAGAACAGGGCATGCATTAATAACAAGTGCGCGGATCCGTGTCCAGGTTCTTGCGGACAAAACACGAACTGCCTTACGGTGAACCATAATCCCATCTGCAGCTGCGCCAGCGGCTACTCCGGCGATCCTTTCGTGCATTGCACCAGGATTAGCACTACGTCGCCGTTACCAAAAGGGGAAGGAGACCCTTGCCTGCCGAATCCATGCGGCCCGAACTCGCAGTGCAGAGTTATAGGCTCGCATCCGGCATGTTCCTGCTTGCAGAACTACATTGGCCGTCCACCGAACTGCAGGCCGGAGTGCACCGACAACTCGGAATGTTTGAATAGCGCAGCGTGCATCAATCAGAGATGCAAGAATCCCTGTCCTGGTGCTTGCGGCGAAATCGCCAGGTGCACAGTGCAGAATCACGTTCCGATTTGCACCTGTCCGGAAGGATACGAGGGCGATCCTACTGTGCGCTGCGTCCTGGCATCTCCGCCAGGTGAGTAGAAATTCGAATATCCATTGAATTAGATTGTCGAAAATGATATTTGAAAACACACTGTGCTCTGTAAATATTACAAATTTTTGTTTCGTATGTTTTTGTAGCGACAGACAGAACTGTGTCAAATCCATGCTCGCCAAATCCTTGCGGTCCCAATGCGCAATGTCGCGAAAGAAACGGAGCTGGCGCCTGCGGATGTCCGCCTGACCTAATAGGCGATCCGTACGATATCATCAAGGGATGCCACAGGGAATGCGAAACGAACAATGACTGCGCGCCGCAGCTGGCGTGTGTTGGTTTCAAATGCATAGATCCATGTCCAAATACGTGTGGAACGTTGTCTATCTGTAACGTACAAGCGCACGTTCCTGTCTGTCTGTGTCCACCGGGATATACTGGAGATCCATATTTTGCTTGTGAAATTGAGGAGATGATAAGTAAGTTGTTTTTGGTAGTGAAATATTAATGGTAGATTGATTTAATAAAAAATAAATGTTATTAGTTGCATTAATAAAGTGAAAACAATGTTAATAATGTTATTAGTATTGTGTTAACTATATTAATTGTATTAATTGTAAAAATAAATGTGTATTAATTGTATTAATTTAATATTGTCAAACTGCTATAAGCTATAATGATGGCTTGAAAAACTGCTCTTTAGATAAATATCTTTTTAAAATAATTATTATATAAAACTAAAAATTCTATTAAAAATGTAATGTTATTTTCTTCAGAAACATTGGAACCGTGCTCTCCATCACCTTGTGGGCCCAACAGTAAATGCCGAGTCGTTAATGGTCAAGCCGTATGCACCTGTTTACCAGAGTATAGGGGCATTCCACCGTCGTGCAGACCAGAATGTATCGTTAATGCCGAGTGTCCACCTCATCTGGCGTGTGTAAATAAGAAATGTGCAGATCCTTGCCCGAATACTTGTGGATTGAGGGCGCAATGTATTACCAAAAACCACAATCCGATTTGCACTTGTCCTGCCGGTTTCACAGGAGATCCTTTCACTTTCTGCTCGCCACATAGTAAGCATTATATATACATATTTTCGTCTCCTCGTATCAGCATCAACATGAATATCCTAGAAAATTTGGTTTAGATAAAATTGTATCACTTAATATTTACGTCATTTGAGTATTCAATATTACATTTTTGCATATTGTGTTCCACGTATTTATTAATTTGCGAAAATAGATGTGTATATTGACATTATATATATAAATTATTTCTTTATGTACATTTCTCTTACAATTAGACCTAAATAATATATAATAACTATTTTTCAGTTACTACCGAATTTCCGGCAACTGAGCGGCCACCATCTTGCACCCCATCACCTTGTGGTCCGAATTCTTTGTGTCAAATAATATCCGGCAATCCCGCTTGTTCCTGCCTGCCAAATTACATTGGTGTACCGCCACAATGTCGACCGGAATGCATTTTAAGCTCCGAATGTAAGAGTCACTTCGCATGTGTCAATCAGAGGTGTACGGACCCGTGCCCAGGCTCATGCGGAGTAAACGCTCAATGTCACGTATTAAATCATCTCCCAGTTTGCACGTGTATGGAAGGATTCACCGGAGATCCATTTACGCAATGCAGCATTATTCCGCCAGGTAAGCGAAGCATCGAGCAATGCATTATTAATATGAGCTGTTCTGCGAGAAATTAATTACAACAAAAATCGAAACAATCTGATGTTTTAACCCTATTCACTCCAACGTTTTTTTTGCCCCAATAATCCTCCAACCATGCACTTTCGAGTCCCACGTGTTTTTTATAATGTTAATAGCTTTGAAAAATTCCCCAAAAATTATTATAATATCTTTGTACCTTTGACTAAAAATCAATGTAAAGAACATTTGAAAATCATTTATTTAAATATTTTTTTACAACAATTATATGTTGACAAACACACGTTACGACTCGTTTTACTTAAAAAATCATAACTCACGAACAAATTGACGAAGCTTAATGAACCAAAACGCAAATTAAAGCTAAAAGTAGTGCAAATGAGAAAAAAAATATGAGATAATTATTAATTAAATAGGAATACTTAATTTTGTCGCCGCAAATTTGGTAATTTTTAAATGGTACAGAAGGACTTTAAGGACTTAAAGAATGCTAGAAAAAGAATTTCTGAATAAGAAAAGGCGAATTTGAAGTGTGGCAGATATTTTTTATGTAAAAAAATTAATTTTTTTTATATAATCGTAGCTCCTCCCCACCTCTTCCACCTGCCTCTGAGCCATAATAGGCCTCTGTGGAATGTTAAATTTCTTTTTTAACGACAAAAATATTTTAAATACGGTTAAATTATACACAAAAATACATTTTTATCGAAAAAAATGCTCATTTACCTTTCACACAACACTGACATAATCTTCCAACCATGCACTTTCATGTCCCACCGAGATTTTAATTGTTCCCCGTTTCGAGAGTAAATGAGCTAGGACTTTGAAATTTTTACCTGAGGTTCCCTGCCACAATAACTTTTTTCCGGCGCGGAGGGGATTCTCCCACGATCATTTGTTTTCCGGAACAAACGACTGTTAGAAATTCGTGGGACACGAAAGGCATGGTTGGAGCGAATAGGGTTAATTTGTCTTTAACATTGTTTTACCTGTATAGTTACAGAACCACCAACCACGGACCCTTGCGCTCTATCACCATGTGGTCCGAACGCCATATGCGATAATGGCGAATGTAGATGCTTGCCCGAATATATCGGTAATCCTTATGAGGCCTGTCGTCCCGAATGTATCCTTAATTCAGAATGTGCCCGCGATAAAACTTGCCTGAAGAACAAATGCAAGGATCCTTGTCCCGGAATATGTGGCCAAAACGCGCGTTGCGATGTGGTGAATCACATTCCCGTCTGTTCCTGTCCATCCGGATACGTTGGCGATCCGTTTGTCAGTTGTCGTGTTCAACCTAGAGGTATGCAAAGAAATATAGTTTTTTTATTCGCTTCAATTAACATATCGCTATTATAATTATATCGCCATGTAATTATATATTTTACATATTTTTCATAGATTTCTATGTCAGTTTATGTTAATACAAAATTAAAATTTGTTTCGCATGTATTTCAGTGCCGGATTCTCGAAAAGATCCGTGCTCGCCCTCGCCCTGCGGACCGAACAGTCAATGTCGCAACATCGAGGATCACGCTGTGTGCTCTTGTCTCCGAGGCTATCTTGGTTCTCCGCCATCCTGCAGACCAGAGTGTGTCGTTAGCTCTGAATGTCCGCCAACGCGAGCCTGCGTAAATAAAAAGTGCACAGACCCCTGTCTAGGTTCCTGCGGTTTGAACGCGAGATGCGAAGTAATCAACCATTCGCCGATATGCAGTTGTCTTCCTGGACAGACTGGAGATCCGTTCAGAAGTTGTTATGATATTCCAAGTAAGAAAAACTATTATATGATTATAAATGAAATAATTTTATGATATCAATAAAATGGTATGATATATAATTTCATGTTCAAGAATTGCACGTTAATGATGATCGATTTCACCAATTTTGAAAATTATAATAGATGCAAGAGATATTTGCAATAGCTTCGAATAAAGCGCGAATAAATACAATATTTTATGTGTCGTATCAATATTTTAGTACCATCGGAACCTAAGGATCAGGGCGATCCTTGCATTCCTTCGCCATGTGGACCAAACGCACTTTGTCAGAATGCAAATGGACAACCATCATGTTCGTGTCTACCTACGTACATCGGCACTCCACCGTCATGTCGGCCAGAGTGTTTGATCAATCCCGATTGCCCGCCGGAAAAATCTTGCATAAACATGAAATGTAAAGATCCATGCCCGGGATCCTGCGGGGATAACGCTGAATGCAAAGTAGTGAATCACGCAGTGACTTGTTCGTGTCAGATCGGCTATGCGGGCAATCCGTTCGTGCAATGCGTATTAGAAGGTACGTTCGTTCATTTATCCTGACGTTTATTTCATTAATTATATCAGCAAAGAGCACCAACTCTTCAAATTATCCATCTATTTTTGTACGTGATTATTTTTGTACTTCTGCTGCTTATTTCATTTATTGTTAGAACATAACGTTTTTTTGAGCTAATCAATCTTGAACCAATAAATATCAGGCAATTTTTTTCTGCAGAAGAACCAATGAATCCGTGCGAACCTTCACCGTGCGGTGCCAATGCGATCTGTCAACAACGGGACAATGCTGGCGCTTGCATATGCATCGATGACTATCAAGGAAATCCTTACGAGGGCTGTCAACCGGAGTGCGTCCTCAGCGCGGATTGTCCTACAAACAAGGCATGCGTTCGCAATAAATGCAAGGATCCCTGCCCAGGAGTATGCGGCGTCCGAGCGCAGTGTTCAGTGATCAACCACATTCCTACGTGTACTTGCGAACCCGGATACATTGGAGATCCATTTACGATTTGCACCCTTCAACCGGAAGTGGATACCGAACCTACCGTCAGAGATCCGTGCTCGCCTTCACCCTGTGGACCGAACAGCTTGTGCCGTGCCATAAACAACCAAGCGGTGTGCACGTGCCAAGAGTCTTTCGTGGGTGTTCCGCCGAATTGTAAGCCGGAATGTGTCGTCAATTCGGAATGTCCGCAAAATAGAGCATGCTACAAATACAAATGTACTGACCCGTGCCCTGGCACGTGTGGAATCGAAGCCAATTGCCGTATTATCAATCACAATCCGCTCTGCAGTTGTCCGCAAGGAAAGACGGGCGACCCCTTCTCCAGATGTTTCCCTGAACCCGGTAATTGATATATTTAATTAACTTAAACTTATTTTGCTTATTTGTTTACGTATGTAAAATTATATTTAAAAATTATGTATTGTCAGACTTATGTATTGTACAAGTCTGTCGAAAGCAGATCTTGCCAATGCAGTTGATGTTAGTCTGCTGACACATCTGATCAAATCTGTTACCAATCTGTCGATAGACTGTTATCATTTATTATATCATTACTATCATATACGTATTTAATCTTTTAGTTGTTCCGCTACCGCCGATGGATCCTTGTTTCCCTAGCCCATGTGGACTCTACGCGGAGTGCAAAGTCGTTAATGATCAAGCCGCGTGCACTTGCTTGAAAAATTATATAGGAATACCACCCAACTGCCGCGCAGAGTGCATAGTCAATACAGATTGCCCGTCGGATCAAGCTTGTATCTCGGAAAAATGTCGTGATCCTTGCGTTGGCTCTTGCGGCCAGAATGCTGATTGTCGAGTACAGAATCACATACCAGTTTGCTTGTGTCAACCTGGATATTCCGGCGATCCTTTCACTTTGTGCACAGTAATTAAAGGTGCGTATTTTTAGTGCGTAAATTTCTAAGAATGGCTTTGTATACTTTATTGAAAAAAGAAATGCATATGGAGATAAATACAACTTCGAATATTATTAATTAGTATCTGATAGTCCATTGCAATTATATTATATATTGACAAATCTATTTCAAAATAACATAATCTTTTTTCTTTAATTTTTTTACATCATTTTTATTGATAAGCGTGAAACATTAATGTTGCAGAACAACCAAAGGTTCCCGAAGATTTGTGTAATCCGTCACCATGTGGGCCTAATGCGGAATGCAACGAAGGTATATGCAGGTGTTTGTCTAATTACTTCGGAGATCCGTACTCGTATTGCCGGCCGGAATGCACAATGAACTCAGATTGTCCTCGCGTCAAAACTTGCATCAATCAAAACTGCGTGGATCCTTGCTCAGGCACATGCGGTCGTGATGCACGTTGCGACGTTGTTAATCACGTCCCAATGTGCAGCTGTCCGCCTGGTTACACCGGAAATCCGTTCCTTCTATGTCGACCACATATACCGGATGGTAAGTTTGTAAATATATTTTATAATAAAAATATAAAATGTGTTGAAGTATAAATATAATGAATTAAATGAAACACAAATAAAATGGTTGTATATATTTAAATATATAAATATTAAAATGTATATCGTGATTTCTATATAGTATTGCTTTATCTTTTTTTATTTTTTCTGTGTAAAACGGAAACGACTTATATTTTCGAATATAAATTTTACAATAAAGTCGAATTTTATTTTTACTTCGATCATTATTATTTCCGATAATTGTCATTTGTATGTTATTTGTAGACACCATTAAGCAGCCTTGCACACCTTCGCCTTGTGGACCAAACAGCATCTGCAAAGTCGTGAGTGATCATGCTGTGTGTTCGTGTCAGCCTGGTTTAATTGGCAGTCCACCCGCCTGCAAACCAGAATGCGTCGTCAGCGCGGACTGTCCATTGACACAAGCGTGTCTAAATAATAAATGCCAAGATCCGTGCCCAGGCACGTGTGGACAGAATACAAACTGTCAAGTGGTTAATCATAATCCAATATGCAGTTGCTCCGAATCTTTCACAGGCGATCCCTTCACCATATGTTATCCGCAACCAAGTAAGCTCCACACTTAGATATTACAGCATTAAAAAATTTTATATTTTTGTAATTGGGTTTATTAATTGCAATCGATAATTTAATTATAAGAAATAACTATAATCGTAAAAGACTTTACACATTGATTAACGTATTAGAATGATCGAAGTCATTAATGTGACATCTATATATATTTTTTATTAGCCAAATTTTTTGTTTTCATAAATTTTTAATTAATATCAACCATGCAAATTACTACAGAAAAGCCTGCTTTCTTATTGCCTGGGGATTAGTTCTTATCTTCTGTACGATATGATTAATTAGTCTTCTAGATAATAGTTTAATTGTTCTAGCGTTAAATGCAATATTTCTTCATTTAAATATTTGTTTGCAGAAACACCATCTGTGCCGATAAACCCGTGTCTGCCATCGCCTTGCGGTCCAAACGCGGAGTGTCAAGTCAGGGGTGACAGTCCTGCGTGTTCGTGTATCGAAAATTACGTCGGTTTGCCGCCGAATTGTCGACCGGAGTGCACAATCAATCCTGAGTGTCCGCCGCAGTTAGCGTGTATGCAACAGAAGTGTCGCGATCCGTGTGTCGGTCTGTGCGGTCTGAACGCTCAATGCTCGGTAGTGAATCACCATGCGGTTTGTGCGTGCATCGGCGGATACACCGGAAATCCATTCAGCGCTTGCGAACGAGTACCTGAGGGTGAGTACACGATCGTTATCTGTTATTTCTTCTTGTTACAATCTCTCTCACAAATGACGTCGTTTGCATGCGGGCGTGGCAGGTAGGTAGTGCCTTTTATCACCGTACAATATGACTAATGGTAATAAGTCAAGACGGTAGCTCAAGAGTTTTTCTTTCTTGTCAAACAATACCGCTGCTCAAAGTTGGCAGTTAAAAATCTTGCAATTTACTGAAATCTTTCCCAAGAGATTGCCCTAAATATTACATTAGAGCATGACGTACCGACTGTTTTGAAGATCAGCTGAAGTTTGAAAAACTGTTTGATGAATATCACCGTCCTGTCGCGTTATTGTTAGATGTGTGCTTATATAGTTCTAGAAGTCACATCAGACCGAAATTTATGTTTTAACCGTCGCATAATGAGACGATATGCCGTGCAACAGTATCGCACAGTCGCAAAGAGATCTTTAACAGGAGGTGGACAATAAGCCACGTGTGTTAGGTGGTGGGGCCTATAGATATTAGGCTCATAATTGCACTCATCCCCGATTAAAAGTCAATAACATAGGATTATATGTGTGCGTATCCCGAGTCCCTACAATTAACAGAAGGAACAATGTGGCACGCAATCATCCCCATGCCTGAGCGTACTGACCCAGAAACCTAATGCAGGAAAACGATAGTGACAGGTGGTCACAAAACTGGTGGCGGGGCCTATATACCCAATAGGCTCTTGGCTGCACTCACCCCTAATTGACACTGAGCAACTAAGCGATAGAATATATAATCCCTGCGATTAATTGTTGAAATGTTTACTGCACGCACTAGTCTATTGAAGCGAGTCCGTTAAAGACCCACTCACATGTAAGAGCACTCTGATATGCTGTGGACCTCCCAATAATCATGCTGCACATACCGTTCCCGAATAGACCAATAACGCAAAGATATCGCCACAAAAAGCGTAACCTCTAGAGAAATAATTTTAACAAATCTTAATGAAACGCACTTACTACAATGTAGATCCCAATTAAAATAGGATAGCTGTCCCGTCCCTGAAGAAATAATATATTGCCAATCACCTTGTAATTAACTCGAATAATTAATTCAATGAAAGATTGAACACGCTTGATGAAACAATTGCTATTAGAAAACGTCACCCACTAAAACCGATAGTTATCTCTCCGAGATACTCGTCAACCCAATGATAACCCAGCATTAAAACAACCACGCAAAGCTATTACGTCGCACTACCATATGAGGCTTATTGCTTGTTAGGAATTCGATTTAATCGAAAAATGCGAACGCGAGGGAAAATAGACAAAAGTACAAAAAATAATCCCTCAGCCTATCACCAGCTTTTGGAGAAGAACGCTGCATGTTCGATTAAGTCTAAGTGAAATTTCTCTTTATATCAGATACGTTCCTAGACATTAGAAAACCGTGCGAGCCTTCCCCTTGCGGCCTCAATGCCGTCTGCCGCGAGAACAACGGCGTTGGCTCGTGCACCTGTCTGCCGGACTATCTAGGTGACCCCTACGAAGAATGCAGACCCGAGTGCACGCAAAATTCTGACTGTTTGACAAGAATGGCGTGCGTGAGCCTGAAATGCAGAGACCCTTGCCCAGGAACATGCGGAGTGAATGCCCAATGTCAATCGGTTAATCATCTGCCGATCTGTACTTGCATCCCCGGCTATACCGGCAACCCTTTCACCCTCTGTTCCCTGATAGTTGAAACCTGTAAGATTTATTTCCATGTTAGATATTTTATTTATTGCATTTTAAAATTCGGATTCCTAATACTAGTTACATATACCACAGAATTTTCACATGCAGAATTATTTTAGAAAGATTTAGATTTACTGTGAAAATTTAATCAGAAAGAATTTAATTATTTATTATTGATTAAACGTCTCTGATTTTTTCATTTTGCTATTCAAAATAATAAATAATAAAATAATAAATTTTAGATATACCCATTTATTTTCATTTTATTGATACGAGATATATATTTAATTAATGATGAGATATTTAAAAGTGATATTTAAAATTCTGACTTTTATTGTCGTTTCACTTTTAGTACGGATTCGAATTTTTATTCTCTTGAGGAAAATATATTTAGTCTAAATTCGAACATGAAAAGATCACATTATTGTCCAGAATAATCCGTAGAAAATATTTTGTAACATACATAATAATATTTTTCTCCATACAGTCCTGCCAGAAACAAATCCGTGCAGCCCATCCCCCTGTGGACCAAATAGTAAATGCCAAGATGTAAATGGCCTTGCCGTTTGCACTTGTCTCCCGAATTTTATTGGCAGCCCTCCCAACTGTCGAGCCGAATGCGTTGTGAACAGCCAATGCTCCCCGGATCTTGCTTGCATCAATCAGAAGTGTATGTCGCTCTGCCCGGACCCGTGTGGAATAAACACACAATGCAAAGTGATCAATCACAGCCCTATCTGCGTCTGCAATCTCGATTATACCGGGGACCCCTTTACAAGATGTTTCCCCGCCCCACGTAAGAACTTGGTCTATTTTATCAGCTTCATTCATTTCTGCCATAAGTTCACGATCATCGGCTTCATCCATTTGTTCATTCACTCCAGAAGTTCACGGTCATCAGCTTCACTTATTCGTTCATTTACGTCAGAAGTTCACGGCCATCAGCTTCATTCACCCACGCCATAAGTTCATCTTTCATAATCATGGCTTAATTTTGAAACTGACTGACGTTGCTGCAACAGTTATCCTCAGCTCAATTTGCTCTAATATGTCATAATATCATATCATAATATCAATCCTCACAAGTTTTATACCATGCGCGATAATATCGTATGGTATACAATGACATCTTATTATTTTTTCATGACACTTCATTATTTTTACTCTCATGCATAAATGCAATTGATTTGTTGCTGATATAGACATTTTTACAAACAAACGGCGAGTAGTTTGTTACGTCTGTTTTACTATTGAATTTCAGAACCGCTAGATTTTCCCGTAGCCCCCAAAGATCCCTGCTTGCCGTCCCCGTGCGGCGTATACGCGGAGTGCAGGAACATCGGTGGCACACCGTCGTGTTCTTGTCTGCCGACCTACAGAGGATCACCGCCGAATTGTCGCCCCGAATGCCGCGTGAATTCCGAATGCCCGATGAATCTCGCCTGCAGCAATGAAAGATGCAGGGATCCCTGCTTAGGTTCCTGCAGCATTACTTCATTGTGCGCAGTCTATAATCACGTACCCGTGTGCACCTGTCCCGAGGGATACACCGGTGACCCTTTCAGTAATTGTTATCCCAGACCGACAAGTAAGAGACTCTCCACATCCTAAAGTCATGAAAAATTTGTTTCGAAGAAAAATTTCGCGAATTGTAACGCACGATGTTTCTTGAATTAACGTTTTTAGAATTTATTAGTTTTAGTTTTAGCGAATGATAAGTGAAACACGAGAATTTCAACTTGCTCAGATATGAAGAAATCTTGGAAAGATATTTTCAACTTTTTAATGAATTTCTTTTTAATGTTCGTGTAGTTTGGCTTGGTCAAGATTTTGTTATTTATCGTTTAAAAACAGGAACTGAGATATCTCCAACAATGCACGTGTAATGTTTTAGACATTCTTTAAATATTTTAAACAAATTTTTCTTTACATTGTTCTGCTTCAATTATCTCATTAAGCATCCACTAGATATTTAAATTTCGAGAAATAGAAATGCACATTAGATACGAATACAATGGCTGAAATGTTGCGTGTAAGTTATGCGTTACGTTCGTGAAATTTCGTTTCGGGCTCCGTCATGACATTCAGTTCCTCATCCGCATTCTTTTACAGCGGCACCTGCAGTTATCGACCCTTGCAATTTGAATCCCTGTGGACCGAATGCACGATGCAACAATGGCATCTGCATATGTCTGCCTGAATACCAGGGTGATCCATATGTGGGTTGCCGTCCCGAGTGTGTCATGAATACCGATTGCGCCCACGATCGTGCGTGCGTGCGTAACAAATGTGTGGATCCCTGCCCGGGCACGTGCGGTCGAAATGCATTGTGCTCCGTATATAATCATGTGCCTATATGCACCTGTCCGACCGGAATGATCGGCAATGCCTTCGTTCAATGTTCCATAGTCGAAGGTATAATCAATGCGATCGATTTGTAATTTCTACGAATTTTTATTGATAATGATAATCGTAGGGTTCAGCCTTCTTGATGATATTCGTAAAATATGAATACTTCTATCGCTATTACATTTCCACAATTTACAGATTTTCTACTATTATCGTTATTGATATCGCTTGCGTTATCTTTTTGAGAGCAAAGTATAAGATCGCTATTATATTGAATGTTAGATACCCCGAAAGGAGATCCCTGCTCACCCTCGCCCTGCGGACCCAACAGCGTTTGCCGAGAGAACAACGGGCAACCTGTATGCTCGTGTGTGGCGGGATTCCTTGGCGTACCGCCAGCATGCAGGCCGGAATGCACTGTCAGTTCCGAGTGTCTTCTGACAGAAGCGTGTAGCAATCAGAAATGCATAAATCCTTGTCTCGGTGCATGCGGAATTCAAGCCACATGCCAAGTGATTAATCATAATCCCATATGTAGCTGCGGAGAACTCACCGGAGACCCGTTTATTCGATGTATCCCACGACGTAAGAACAAATACCAATTACAAATATCATTTACCTTCATTAGGCAATTAATACTGATATCAGTGATATCTGTTTTAATGATTCCAACGCAGATATGTGAATATAGTATAGAAATATATAAAAGAAAATATTTTGTTTTCTTCAAGTTTCAAACGCATTAAAAATCAGTGATTTTACGAAGATTGAAATTGAAAATAGTTTTATTATTTTACATAATATTTATTATTACAACAAAAAAGTATAACAAATATTTTATAAAAATTTAAAAGAATTTTTATTATTAGTACTTAGTTCGATTTTATCTAACATCTCGAGTAATTCATATATTTCAAAATAATCATAATATGAATTTTGAGTTTTAAATTTATTTAATTCCAAACTTTTTTATTCAACATTTTTTCTTTCCATTAGCACCCGAACCTGTGTTGCAAACAGACCCCTGTGTGCCATCTCCTTGTGGAGCGAACGCTGAGTGTCGAGTTATCGGCGATGCTCCCTCGTGCTCGTGTTTAGCTGGATTTTTGGGTTTACCACCGTATTGTAAACCAGAATGCATTAGCAACAGTGAATGTCCTGCTCATTTAGCATGCATGAATCAGAAGTGTAGGGATCCTTGCGAAGGTTCCTGTGGGGCCAACGCCGAGTGTCGTGTAGTAAGCCACACGCCCATGTGCGTTTGTCCTAACGATTTTACCGGTGATCCATTTACGCAATGTATACTGAAACCACGTAAGCATCGATTTTACACAGAACTGAAATTATATTTAGATTCGAGCAAAACGTAGGAAACATTTGGTTTTCGACTTTTAATCGATCATAAAATCACGTTGAGACTTTCAGATATAACGTGAGCTTGCCTTTCTTGAAAAAATATCGTAACAAATAGGTTTGAGAGATGTTTCCTAGTTCATATTTTGTTTTCAGCCACACCAGTCCCATTGTCGCCCTGTAAACCATCACCTTGTGGCTTTAATGCCGTTTGCAAGGAACAGTTTGGTGCTGGATCCTGTTCTTGCTTACCAGATTATGTCGGCAATCCTTACGAAGGATGTCGACCGGAATGCGTAGTTGATACGGATTGCATATCTATTCTTGCTTGCGTACAATCAAAGTGCAGAGACCCATGTCTCGGTGTCTGCGGACAATTCGCCGAATGTCAAGTTATTAATCATCGACCAACTTGTACATGTATTTCCGGTTACAGCGGCAACCCATTCCAATACTGCACTGTGATGCGCGATATCGGTACGAATACTTTTCCGAATACTGAGAAACTTCAAACCTCACTTATTGCAATTTTTTATATTCTTATTATTTTACTTCAAACTTTTTATTCCATGTTTGACAAGGTTTACAATACCGTAATATTATCTTTTTTTTTGCTTAAAATTAATTTTTTACACGTCTTAATTTAATTTGAGAATGAATATATAATTACGTTTCAATATTTTCGTAAATAAATATTTTAAATTATTTTTTCTACTTTAATGTCAAAAATTTGAAAGATGCATTTATTATTTTAGTCGATATTCCGAGGGATGTTTGTAATCCATCACCTTGCGGACCCAACAGCCAATGTCGTGATAATAATAATCAAGCAGTTTGTTCTTGCCTACCGAATTTCATCGGTAGTCCACCCGCATGTCGCCCTGAATGCGTGACAAGCTCAGATTGTCCCCTCAATCTTGCTTGCTTGAATCAAAAGTGTCAAGATCCCTGTCCAGGCTCCTGCGGTAGAAATTCGAATTGCAGAGTTATCAAACACAATCCAATTTGTTCCTGTAGAAACGGCTTTACCGGCGATCCATTTACCGTTTGCTTCCAGACACCTGGTACGATTTTCAATTTTTGTCTAATATTATTGGTATTTATTTAACGGGCGAATATATATACGTTATCAGTTGTAATTATTTACCCGATTAAATACGCTCGGACCTCGATAAAGTGTTCCTCTCAAAAGTACTGAAAGCTATTCCAAGATCACGTTTAACTCTATTTGATTAATTCTCTTAATTCTCTTCGAATCAATAAATAATATTTGTTAACAATATTGTTAACAATTTGTAATTTCTAGTCTAATTTCTAGCACAATAAGTAATATCTTTTGCTTTCGATTGATATTTACGAGAATGCTGTATCGAGATTGGAGTATATATGCAATCAATTAGATTTTATAATAATTTTATAGCTTTCAAACTGTTCATTACCGTAATTGCAGTGAGTCCGCCCGTCGTAAGTGACATTACGAGAGACCCGTGCGTACCGTCACCTTGTGGCGCGTTTTCCGAATGTCGCGATATAGGAGGAGTGCCATCGTGTTCTTGTTTACCAATGTACAGAGGCAGTCCGCCAAATTGTAAACCAGAATGTACAATCAATGCAGAGTGTCCAGCTAATATGGCTTGCATGCAACAAAAATGTAGAGATCCCTGTCCAGGCTCATGCGGCATTATGGCCGAATGCAGTGTCGTAAATCACGTGCCAATTTGTTCGTGTTTGCCCGATTACACCGGCGACCCTTTCATCGGATGTTCCATAAAGCCACGTAAGATTTCCCATCGGAAATATATAATAATAATTTTTTTATTATTCCCCCGATAGCGTACTTGATCCTCTTCTTACGCGAAATTATTACAGTCGTTGTTGCTTCCTCCAAACCGGATCTATGCACGCCTTCACCTTGCGGACCCAATACGCAATGCAACGGAGGAATTTGCGTTTGCATAGCAGAATATTTCGGGGATCCTTACAGCGGTTGTCGGCCGGAATGCGTATTGAATAACGATTGCCCGAACACGCAGGCTTGCGTGCGAAATAAATGTGTGGATCCTTGTCCAGGTGTTTGCGGCCAAAATGCCGTGTGCAATGTGTACAATCATGTTCCCATGTGTAGTTGTCTCTCGGGAATGGATGGAAATGCTTTCGTCTTGTGTTCTCCCGTGCCAGGTATTCTCAGGAAGTTCTAAACATAACGACGTCAAAATATCTATCAATCTTGTTTAATTTTCAAACCTCCGCATTCTTAGCACGTCGAATCTTTATTCTATAATTCAAATCTTTTCTTATAGCACCACCCATTAGCAACCCATGTAATCCGTCTCCGTGTGGTCCGAACAGTCAATGCCGACAAAATAATATGCAGGCTGTATGTAGTTGCATAAGTGGATTTGTCGGCGCGCCACCGACTTGCAGACCCGAATGTGTAATTAGCTCAGATTGCCCGAAGAACGAGGCGTGCACCAATCAAAAATGTCGGGATCCTTGTCCGGGAAGTTGCGGGCGCAACACAATATGCAACGTCATTAATCACAATCCTGTCTGCGTCTGCCGTTCCGGAATGACCGGAGATCCGTTTATTAATTGCTTCCCTCTTCGTAAGAAAATTTTTTTTTATTCTTTCTCGAAAATATTTTCAAATATTAAATTTTTCACACGTAAACTAAACTGCCTTCGCGATTTATTTTATTTTATTACTTCAAACACGCATAAATGAAATTCATAATATAGTGCCTCGGTTAATTAACCGGTTATTACTTTTAAAGCTGAGGAACCGGTACCTGTGCTTAATCCCTGTCAACCATCACCGTGTGGACCAAACGCGCAATGCCAAGTGATCAATGATCAACCCTCTTGCTCATGCTTGCAAGAATTTATCGGATCACCTCCAAATTGCCGATACGAGTGTATCAGTAATAGCGAGTGCTCGAACAAAATGGCCTGCATCAACCAAAAATGTCGCGATCCGTGCATCAACGCATGCGGCATCAATGCCGTTTGTAATGTTGTTAGCCACACGCCGATGTGCGCTTGCACCCCCGGTTATACTGGCGATCCGTTTACACAGTGTTCTCCTCAACAATGTAAGATAATTTAAAAAAATAATTCAAATATTTACATATTTAAAAAGTCAGATTTATTTCAGTTTTTATTTTATTAATCCATATGTTTTTCATTTATTTGAAAGAATTATGAAATTAATATTAGATAATTATTACGACATTTTAAATTATCCACAAGGATGTTTCTTTTTAAGAATGAATAATTTAATTACTATTCTATTCTCATTTTAGTCGATATACAACCTAGCATATCCACGCCGTGCACACCATCTCCGTGTGGTGCAAATGCAGTATGCAGAGTTCAGCAAAACGTTGGTTCTTGTTCATGCTCCTCCGATTATATCGGCAACCCTTACGAAGGGTGCAGACCCGAGTGTACGCTCAATTCCGATTGTCCGTCCAATCAGGCGTGTATCGGTTTGAAATGCAAAGATCCGTGTCCAGGAACGTGCGGTCAAAACTCTCAGTGCTACGTGATTAATCACGCGCCAACTTGCACTTGCTTCGAGCGGTACACGGGAAATCCATTCATATTCTGCAGCCTTATCATCGAAGCTCGTAAGAGATCGCTTAAAGCTCGCGCGCGTTTGTTCTGAGGACAATTACGTGACTTTAAATATCTAACTTTCTTGCAGCGGTTGTAGCAGATAATGTCAATCCTTGTCAACCATCCCCCTGCGGACCGTACAGTCAATGCAGAGCAAGCAACGGCCAAGCTGTTTGCTCTTGCCTGCCTACTTATATCGGCGCACCGCCCGGTTGTAGACCCGAATGCACAGTTAGCACGGATTGCGCGACGAATCGCGCTTGTGAGAATAACAAGTGTGTCGATCCTTGCCCCAATTCGTGCGGTCAGGGCACAACATGTAGAGTCGTGAATCATAGTCCAATATGCATGTGCAAACCTGGATTTAGCGGTGATCCATTCGTACGCTGCTTATTCGCACCACGTAAGCGGAACAAATCGTATATACATTTAAACTTTTGCTCTAGTTTATTATTTTTTATATTTAAAAAAATGTCAATATCTTCTCATCTTTTTTCTAGATAACTTTGCATTAAAATATTTCTTTGTTTCCTTTCAAAACTTTTATTATACGAAATAGCAAAATTATATTCTTGGAAACGTTAAAATTTTATAGATAATATTCTATATCTTTGGTTAAAAAATAGTTATATAATCAATTTTTATTTTAAAAGTATTTTTTAATAGAAATTTTATTTAGAAATTTAGAGATTTTGCTTTAAATTTTAGCTACATCGAGTTACTTACCGAGCCTGCCCTCGGATCCTTGCATACCCTCTCCGTGCGGACCTAACTCACAATGCCGCAATATCAATGGTTACCCATCTTGTTCCTGTATGATTAATTACGTTAGTACACCGCCAAATTGTCGTCCCGAGTGCGTTATTCCTGCCGACTGCCCGAGCAATCAGGCTTGCATTCGCGAAAGATGCCAAGATCCGTGTCCAGGTTCTTGCGGCCTGAATGCCGATTGTACTGTTCACAACCACATTCCAATCTGTAGATGTATAGAAAGTTATACCGGCGATCCGTTTATCGGTTGTCAACCTGTGCCAATCTGTAAGTTATATAGCGAAATCTCCTTAATTTTTTGCAACAATGTGTTTTACAATGTATTAATAACTTGCTTTAAACTGACAATTGTAATTGACGTAGACAACGAGCCAACGCAGCCAACTGATCCATGCAGTAGATCACCTTGTGGACCAAACGCTCAATGCAACAATGGCATTTGTATTTGTTTACCTGAAAACTTTGGCGACCCATACATTGGCTGTCGACCAGAATGCGTACTCAGTACAGACTGCTCAACCGACAGGGCTTGTATACGAAACAAATGTGTCGATCCTTGTCCAGGTACTTGTGGACAAAATAGTTTATGCAACGTGATAAATCACACACCAATGTGCAGTTGTCCCCCTGGTACTGTTGGAAACGCGTTCATTTCCTGCGATATAATGAGAGGTACGATATCAAGAGCGAGAAACCTAATCCATGTTTGAGAATATGCTAATTGGTATTTGCCCTGTCGTACGTAGTTCCGCCCGTAACAAGACCGTGCAGCCCGAATCCCTGCGGTCCAAACAGCATATGTCGAGAATTAAATGGACAAGCTGTGTGCACTTGTGCGCCAGAATTCCTTGGATCGCCGCCTCTTTGCCGACCCGAATGTACTATTAGTTCGGACTGTCGGCCGAATGAAGCTTGCGCTAATCAGAAATGTAGAGATCCGTGTCCCGGTACGTGCGGCATCCAAGCAAGATGCGTAGTCGTCAATCACAACCCTGTCTGCTCGTGCCCCGAGCGCTATACAGGCGATCCGTTCATCAGATGCGATGTTATGAGTAAGACAATCTTAATTCGAAGTATATCGCGTAAGCCCCGACCACCAGACTAAGATCGAAACATGCTATCCTGTTTAGAACCAGTAGCACCCGTAGTGATAAACCCTTGTCAGCCTTCACCCTGTGGTCCGTACGCTCAGTGCCAGGTCGTTAACGATTTGCCATCCTGCTCGTGCCTACCCGAATACAGAGGCTCGCCCCCGTATTGTCGACCCGAATGTATTTCCAATCCCGAGTGTCCCAGCCATCAAAGTTGTGTGCGGCAAAAGTGCAGGGACCCCTGCCCAGGTCTATGCGGAGAGAATGCCGAGTGCCATGTGGTACAACACGTGCCTCATTGCGTCTGTTCCTATGGTCTCACCGGTGATCCGTACACGCGCTGCTCCGCGATACGTAAGGGATAAAAAACCCTTTTATATAAAACTACGAGACCAACCGGCCTTACGTTTATGCGACGTTGCTTAATCCGTTTGCCCTTTACATTGTTTTAGCACGCCCAACAGAACTGGAACCAGAACCGTCGCCCTGCGCAATCTTCGAATGCGGCGCGAATGCGATATGTAGAGAGCGAGACAATGTCGCAATTTGTCAGTGTGTCACTAGCTATGTCGGCAATCCGTACTTAGCATGCCGACCCGAATGCGTCATTAATCCCGACTGTCCATCCAATTTGATGTGCGTGAGAAACAAGTGCGCTAATCCCTGCGCCGGCATGTGCGGCCGAAATGCTGAATGTTCGGTTGTCAATCATCAACCGATGTGCACATGTCTCCCCGGATATACCGGAGATCCCTTCATTACTTGTTCTGTAGATAGTAAGTGTCCTTAATTAAACAGTCTAATGTTTTGCGGAAATCTTTTACGATAAAAATAACACAATTTTTATTTTTACGAAGAAAAAAACATTAGAAATATTGAGTTCACAAAAGATATTGCCTTACATATTGCATCTTTTTTTCTCGATTTTCAAATAAGTTTTATTGTATAAGTATATTAAAATTTGTGATGAGACATTTCACACGATGCTTACATTCTTTTATTTTCAAAGTTTTTATTTTATTAGAAAAAAGTTTGAAATAAAAGATTAAAAGAATTTTTTAAACTATTTTAATTAATATTCAAAGTCTATATTTTTCAAAAAAACGATAAATTTTTTACATTTTAGATTCCTATGTATAAACTGATATAATTCGAATATATATATTAGTGCACATATAAATTATTCCAAAAAAGTTAAGAATATTTTATATGAGGCACAGTTATACTTTTTAATAATTTTAAAATGATTGAAAATTAATAATGCTTTTAGAAACAATTTTTTAAAAAATTATTGTGGATGTTTTTATACTTATCTACGTGAATTCTACTAATGCATTAAATTTTTCCCAGAAATAATCTCAGACGAGAACGTTTGTGCCCCATCACCCTGTGGACCCAACAGCAAATGCAAAGAAGTGTCCGGACAGGCTGTCTGTTCATGCCTCCCGACGTACGTTGGAACCCCACCTGCATGTAGACCTGAATGTGTCGCTAGCTCAGAGTGTTCCCCGCAATTAGTGTGCAAGGACTACAAATGCGTGAACCCCTGCCCAAGCCCATGCGGACTCAATACCAATTGCGTGGTCGTTAATCACAGCCCCATCTGCAGTTGTATGTCCGGTTACAGCGGAGATCCGTTCACCATATGCTCGTTAATTCCACGTAAGACCACCATCGAATGCATGAAGAACTATATTAACCCAATCTCTCAACATATACTGCCCTGTGCCCTTTACATATCGTATGACCGTCATCAATCTCCAAATATCTTTCAGCTGTAACACCACCGCTAGTACAGAAAGACCCTTGTGTGCCATCCCCGTGCGGTAGTTTCTCCCAATGCAGAAATATCGGTGGCTCTCCCGCGTGTACCTGCCTGGAAAATTACATGGGTCAGCCACCTAATTGCAGACCCGAATGTACCATACACTCGGAATGCTCAAGTGATAAAGCCTGCATCAACATGAAGTGTGTGGATCCATGTCCCGGCTCGTGCGGCACCAATGCCCTATGTTCGGTCATTAATCACATTCCTACGTGCAGATGCCCCGAGGGCTACACTGGAAATACGTTTGTCCTTTGCGAGATATTACCAGCAACACGTAAGCGTCACGAGCCGTCCAGTAATACCCTAATTCGAAAACGCGTCATTCGAAATCTTTACATGGCTCGAAATATATCTCGAGTTCGTTAATCCCTATACCGATTATATTTTGCAGCGATTCCATCCCCGGTCGAAGATGCCTGCGTCCCATCACCCTGTGGCCCTAACGCACAATGTTTCGATGGTATCTGTACTTGCCTACCGGAGTTCCGAGGAGATCCGAATGTAGGTTGCCGACCGGAATGCGTCCTAAACGCGGATTGTCCTCGCGATAGAGCGTGCATACGTAACAAATGCCTGGACCCATGCCCCGGAGCTTGCGCCGTTAACGCGTTATGCACCGTGATCGGTCACGTTCCCATGTGCAGTTGCCCTGGAAATATGACCGGCAACGCATTCAGCCAATGCACGCCTCTACAAGGTATATAGCGTCCCATTATTTCAAGACCGATGCCCCGATTCTCGATGCTATAAAATTATGTGAAATAACTACACAATCTTTCGTAAATCATTCCCGGGGACTAAATATCCATTATTTTTGTATATTAGACATGCCACCCGCTAATCCATGCGCCCCTTCACCCTGTGGACCGAACAGCGAATGCCGCGTTATAAATAACCAGGCAGTTTGCTCCTGTATAAGAGGATACATAGGTAGCCCTCCGACCTGCAGACCCGAGTGCATAGTCAGCACGGATTGCCCCCAGAATGAGGCTTGTAGCAACCAGAAGTGTACGAACCCTTGTCCTGGAAGTTGCGGATTAGGCGCATCCTGTCAAGTAGTGAATCATAATCCGATTTGCGTTTGTCCACCCTCTCAAACAGGCGATCCTTTTGTTAGATGTTATTTATCACCACGTAAGTATCGTTAGGTTGGTGTTTATGACTAATATGATCCCAAGGAAATTTTAAGAAAATTCTCGTTTTTTTTTTGTATATCGAACTTTGCTCTTTTAGCACAAGTACCTGTGTTACCCCCTACGCCATGCAAGCCAAACCCGTGCGGCCCCAACTCGCAATGCCAACCGCGCGGCGATGAGTCTCTGTGCACGTGTTTACCCGATTTCATCGGCAGTCCGCCTAACTGCAGAGCGGAGTGCGTCAGTAACAGTGAATGTTCCAATCATTTAGCCTGTATTAACAAGAAATGTCAGGATCCGTGCGTTGGCTCCTGCGGTGCAAACGCTAATTGTCACGTTGTCAGTCACACCCCGATGTGTTCTTGCGTGAACGGTTACACCGGTGATCCATTCACGCAATGCATCTTGAGAGAACGTAAGTACCGTTCAGGAACTAAAACTGGTATAAATTCGGTAATCTGCTGAATGTTCGATGCTCTAGATACAGGAAAGTGGATTTCAAAATTGTTGCGATATTATTGCGAATAAATATAGAGATCTTTTCTGTATCTATTTCGTTGAAATGACAAATCACCGTAATTATACTGATTTTGATATCTGATTTATACAGGGATATTCATACCTTTCCTTTCATTATAAACCCCATGTTTTCACTGATGTCATCTTTTAGCCACACCGTTGCCGCCTGCACCTGTTGATCCTTGCACTCCCTCCCCTTGCGGCTCCAATGCAGTGTGCAAGGAATTCAATGGTGCCGGTTCGTGTACGTGCTTGCCGAATTACACCGGAAATCCGTACGAAGGATGCAGGCCGGAGTGTATCCTAAATTCGGACTGCCCCGCCAATCTAGCTTGTATAAATACGAAATGTAGAGACCCGTGCCCGGGATCGTGCGGGCGCAATGCGTTATGTCAGGTGGTTAATCATTTACCGGTATGCAACTGTTATCCCAGATACACCGGCGACGCCTTTTCATATTGCACTCTGGTAGAAATAGGTACGATTACATTGAGTCTAATACATATATCGTTCCTCGTAATTGTTCGATTAATAGCTAAATGCAATCGTGGTTGATTTGTGAAACAATGCAATTTTTAGAAGGAGATAGTGTCGTCAGTAATCCTTGCCAACCATCACCATGTGGACCCAACAGTTTATGTCGTGTTGTGGATAACACGAGCGTCTGCACTTGCTTACCCGACTTCCAGTGGGTAGCCAGCCCACCAAACTGTCGCCCTGAGTGCACTGTTAGTGCCGAATGCGCTTTTAATCTGGCGTGCATCTCGCATAAATGTAGCAATCCTTGTCGTGCATTGTGCGGTTCTAACGCGAGATGCGAAACAATCAATCATAATCCCATATGCTCGTGCCCATCTGGTTTTACTGGCGATCCATTCGTTGCCTGCTTCCAAATGCCACGTAAGAATGATTGAAAATCGAAAATCTCGTATATTGAAATCGTAAAGTGAAATAAGTCAATCATTAAGAAAACGGAGAAATATTTTCTCAAATTCCGAATATATTTTCTTCGGAAAATTTTTTCTTGCCTTCGGTGTTTTTTTGTTTTGAAATAAATTAAATTTTTTAAATATTAGTCATTTTTTCTCATATTAATAGATGAAATATCTCATTTACTTTATTTTGATTAGAAAAATCGTATTTAAACGTCAAAGATATTCAAGGGAAAACGCATAACAGACACATTTGTATGTCCATAGCTAAAGATGAAGAACTTCGTCCACTTGTAAATCCTTGCGCACCTTCACCCTGCGGACCTTATTCGGAATGCCGTGACATTAACGGCCAAGCATCCTGCGCTTGTTTGTCAACATATATAGGAACACCACCCAATTGTAGGCCCGAATGTTCAGTTAATCCAGAATGCCCGACTAATCAGGCGTGTATTCAGAGAAAATGTCGAAATCCTTGCGATGGAGTATGTGGAGTAGGAGCAATTTGTAATGTTATTCGTCATACACCTACATGTTCTTGTTCCAATGGGTTCACTGGGGATCCATTTATAGTGTGTAGACCAATTCCCGAGGAAGGTAAGACAGTCACAAGAATATTTTGTGATGCCATTTATAGAAATAGATCTAAGAATTATATCTCTCTATGATATTTAGAAAATATCTCACTTAAATTCAACTTCATTGTAAATTGAATGCTAAAATTCGTTCCTCAGATATAGCACCTAAACCAACGGATCCATGCTTAAATTGCGGCGCGAATACGCAATGCTTTAACGGTGTGTGCAGTTGCCTTCCCGAATATCAAGGGAATCCAAACTTCGGATGTCGTCCTGAATGTATCTTAAATTCGGATTGTTCGAGAGACCGGGCTTGCATTAAGAACAAATGTCGAGATCCGTGCGGTCTCGGAATCTGCGGTGTCAATGCCTTGTGTTCTGTCGTGAATCACGTACCAGTCTGCACTTGCGCGCAGGGAATGTCTGGAAATGCGTTCATGCAATGTTCTCCAATAGATGGTACGCTCATTCGAGCGATCAATTTCAAATTATGTCGTGAATGATCGGTATTGTAATTATTCCCTCCTGTAATTATATTTATATTTTTTAACATTTAAATAGACGCGATACCAAAAGACCCATGTAACCCGACACCCTGTGGACCGAACAGTCAGTGTCGAAGGATAAGGGATCAAGCTGTCTGCTCGTGTCTCCCTGGATACTTGGACGCACCACCTAATTGCCGAGCCGAATGCATTATTAGTTCCGACTGTCTCGCCAATATGGCTTGCAATAATCAAAAATGCATAAACCCCTGTCCCGGAACGTGCGGCATTAGAGCCCAATGTACCGTAGTTAATCACAATCCGATTTGTTCTTGTCTCTCCGAGTTGACCGGCGACCCCTTCACTCAGTGTGTCCCAAGACGTGAGTAATTTAAAAGCAGTAATTAACCAGGCGCATTAGATGTATTTATCGTCGAGAACATATTGTACTCTTTATTTTTCCAACAGCGATAGAACCTCCAACGCCCGTTAATCCTTGCGTTCCATCTCCGTGTGGACTTAACAGCAAATGCGAAGTTGCAAACAACGCATATTCATGCTCTTGCTTGCCGGAGTTTGTTGGCGATCCGCCGAATTGTAGACCCGAATGCGTTAGCAATAGCGAGTGTCCCACGCAACTAGCGTGCATCAATCAGAAGTGTCGCGATCCATGTCCGGGCTCCTGTGGTATTAATTCTGATTGCCGAGTAATAAGTCACACGCCTATGTGCGTTTGCCTTGTCGGATTCGAAGGGGATCCGTTTGTATTATGCAACCCCAAACAAAGTAAGTGCAGTAATCGTGTGGTAGTGTCTAGAGTACCTTAGAATCACAAGATGCATTTCTAATTGCCGACGTTATGACAAATTTTTAATTTTGAACATTAAATGACGATTAAATTAAATTCTTGTATTAAGATCAAGCTTGGTTGAAATTAAATAAGAAATAAGATACATATCATTATCTATATTTGTACTGCCATTTATATTTATATATATTATTTTATTGCAATATTTTATACACATACCTTATTTATTATTATTATTGTTATTTATTACATTTTCAATGTTTGTGATTTAAAATCAACATTTCGTTCTTATGACAATTAATATTTTACTAAGATTTTATTTTAATCTGTGATTGAAAATATGCATCCGATAATTTTCTGGAATACTTGTTACATTGATGATGATTTGCCAGACTTTGATTGATATTGTTTTAAGAACAGAAAGTGAATCTAATATCTTTTTGTAGACGATGTTATAAGTGCTGTAAAACCAACCCCTTGCATTCCATCGCCGTGCGGTTTTAATGCGGTGTGCCGCGAATCGAATGGTATCGGTTCTTGCACATGTCTACGAGATTACACAGGCAATCCATACGATGGCTGTCGACCCGAGTGCACGATAAATTCCGATTGCACCGCGGATCGGGCGTGCGTCGGATCGAAATGTCAGAATCCTTGTCCAGGTTTCTGCGGGTATAATGCGATTTGCCAAGTGGTAAATCACGCGCCGTTGTGCACATGTCAACCTGGATACAGCGGCAACCCGTTCGTCTCTTGTAATAGAATTGTGCAAGATACGAGTAAGTTCAAATTCTTAAGGAACGTGCATTCTAATCCGACAATTAATCCGCGATTTATTGGAACTTCCAAAATGTATGAATTATTCCCCAGGGAGAAATGATCCGTCGATTCGACGGGTCATTTCTCACTGGGTTCAAAATTAATTGCAATGTGCAGTAGTATCTGTAGTAAATTTTATAAACGTATCAACCATTTATATATATATATATATTTTGCACAACTGTTACAATTATTTTTCGACCATTTAGAATTATTGTAACTTTGCGAAATTAAACTTAAAATCTTCTTTTTTAGCGTTAGAACGTGATCCATGCAGTTCTTCTCCCTGTGGACTTAATAGTCAGTGTCGCGAATTAAACGGTCAAGCGGTGTGCTCTTGTTTACCCACATTTATCGGAACTCCGCCGAGCTGTCGCGCGGAATGCACTGTCAGCTCCGACTGTCCCGTAAATCGTGCGTGCAAGAACCGTAAATGCGTTGATCCATGCCCCGGGATCTGTGGCATCAACGCGAGATGCGAAGTAATTAATCATAGCCCGATTTGCAGTTGTAATCAAGGTTTTACCGGCGATCCCTTTGTAACGTGCTTCCAAACGCGTAAGTACGCTGCAATATACAAATTGCTTTCACGCGTTGTTACATAACTGCTCTATGTGATTTGATTTGAATTAAAGTGTGCGTTTCTCCAAAGCGCGTGACGTAAACATAATATTAAATAGAAATTATTTATTTGCAGAAATAGACAAAGACACACCTCAAATGCCAGAAAATCCGTGCGTTCCATCCCCCTGCGGTCCATTTGCCACTTGCCGCGATAGCGGCTACGCGGGCGTGCCGACGTGCACGTGTCTGGAAAATTACATTGGTAGCCCCCCGAACTGCCGACCAGAATGTACCGTAGATTCTGAGTGCAGCAGTAATCAAGCTTGTTTGAGACAAAAATGCAGAGACCCATGCCTGGGCTCGTGTGGTATCGGTGCCCAATGCCTCGTGGTTAATCACATGGCCGTTTGTCTTTGTCCAAAGGGTTACACCGGGGATGCGTTTGCCAATTGCTTCCCGGAACCTCCTCGTAAGCATTTTTATCCTCGTTATTTTATAATACATCATTCATACAATCGATAGGGGAAAATGAGGAATCATGAATGCAAGTTTCCCAAGTTAATTCCTTAATAAGAGTTTCTAAGTAAATTATAAATATTTATAATTAGAGCCCTGATAAAAACTAATGTTGGTTATAAATTTATCACAATGATTCAATATGATTGGATATTTCCATGCTTTTACTGAATAACAGTGATTATTACAAAAAAAATGATACATTAGAATGTTTTAAAATACAAAACTGAAGTCATTGTATTCTGTATCATAAGCCCTTTCAAAGCAGAGATGTTCATTTAAGATGGACAATGATATTTGCAGCTGCACCTGTACTACAAGATCCTTGTAATCCATCCCCGTGCGGAGCCAACGCGATATGTCGCGACGGCGTCTGTACCTGTCTGCCTGAGTATCGAGGTGATCCTTACACTGCGTGTCGACCCGAATGCGTACAAAATCCGGACTGCCCATTAGACAAGGCGTGCGTTCGTAATAAGTGCTTCGACCCGTGCATTGGAGTTTGCGGGCAAAACGCAAAGTGCACAGTCATAAATCACACTCCAATGTGCGCTTGCCCAGACGGAATGTCTGGCAATGCGTTTGCGGCGTGTTATCCGGTCATTCAAGGTAAAATTTATTGACAATGTGTTATTTGCACACTAGAAACAGTTATTGGAGATTCCTATGCAAGAGTTATTCTATCACAAAGTAATTTTATCTGCTCAAAGATATCTTAGAAAGAAAACAATTTCGTCAATAATTACTTTTGCAGATGTCGTTGAGAACCCATGTAATCCGTCGCCCTGCGGCCCGAACAGTCGATGCCAGAGCTTTAATAATCAAGCAGTATGTACGTGTATACCTGGATTCATAGGAAATCCGCCAGTCTGCCGACCCGAGTGCATAGTTAATACCGATTGCGCATTGAATGAGGCTTGCATCAATATGAAATGTGGCAATCCTTGTTTGGGTGCGTGCGGTATATCCGCTCGTTGCCAGGTGTTAAATCATAATCCAATCTGTACCTGTCCTCCTGTGTTCACCGGCGATCCGTTTATACGTTGCATACCAAGACGTAGGTTTCTCTAGGATTACTATAAACGCCAGTAGACGCGCGTGTCGGGCATGTAACGATTTGTATATTTTTATCTTAAAGCGGAGGATGTTCCAAGACCGATAAACCCGTGCCAACCGTCGCCTTGCGGTCCTAACTCTCAATGCCAAGTCATCAATGATACACCGTCCTGCTCTTGCATGGCAGAGTTCATTGGAACGCCACCGAACTGTAGACCGGAGTGCATTAGTAATAGTGAATGTCCGAGCCAAATGGCGTGTATTAATCGCAAATGTAGAGACCCGTGTCCTGGATCTTGTCATCCTCTGGCTAATTGCTATGTCGTTAATCATGTGCCCACTTGCACGTGTCGCATCGGTTACACAGGCGATCCATTTGTTCAATGCACGATCATGCCTAGTAAGTTTGTAGACTTGACTTATGAGTGTCTTTTTATTACATGAACATCTCGTTAATCGAAACAGCCATTGTTCACTGCTATCAATAGCTCTTGTTAATGTTATATTTCAATTATTATAGTAATATCACGGCAGTGGAATTTAATCGATAGAGTTTCTATTGATTGAGAACGTATGTGTTAATCCGGAATTGACGGATAGGATAAAGCTATGTTCTTTTAGGCGAACCACCGGCACCGAGACAACCTTGTCAACCATCGCCTTGTGGGACAAATGCCGTATGTAGAGAACAAAACGGCGTTGGTTCTTGTACATGCTTGCCTGAATACATTGGAAATCCCTACGAAGGATGCCGCCCCGAATGTACCATTTCGTCAGACTGCCCCGCGCATTTAGCTTGCATCGGATCAAAATGTCAGAACCCATGCCCCGGTTCATGCGGCACCAATACCAATTGCCAAGTTGTCAACAATGTCCCCGTTTGCACTTGTATCCCTGGTTACACCGGCAACCCATATATAAACTGCGTTTATCAGACTCTCAGCAGTAAGTAACGTTAAATGAGCGTAAGAGAGAGAAATTAAATAGAGTAAAAACCAAGACAAATAATAGAAAATTGCATAATAAGTGGCGCTTTAAATACAATATATTTATAGTTCCCGATGAGAAGCGTGAACCATGCAAGCCTTCCCCTTGTGGCCCCAACAGTCAATGCGCCGATAATAACGGTCAAGCTGTTTGCTCCTGCTTGCCCCAGTTTATCGGAACTCCGCCAAATTGTAGACCGGAATGCTTAGTAAATTCGGAGTGCGGATCGAACCGAGCATGTGTGAATCAAAAATGTGTAGATCCGTGCATCGGCACCTGTGGTCGCGATGCTCAATGCAAGGTCATACATCACAGCCCGATTTGTGTCTGCGCAAGCGGCTTTACGGGCGATCCGTTCATCTATTGCTTTGCAGCACCAAGTATGTTCTTTAGAACACGATATCTTATAAAAATTTTAAATTTAAAAATTTAAAATTTGTCGAAATTAAGTGATTGACATTATCAGTTTCTGATTTAATTTTTTTATGTGTATGAAGAATATCAGTATTACCTTTCCGTAGTTCCGAAACCAGAAGACCAATATCCGAAGGACCCATGCTTGCCCTCACCTTGTGGCCCCAACGCCTTATGCAGAGCCATTGGTGACGCCCCAGCGTGCAGCTGCATGCAGAATTACATAGGTGTTCCACCTAATTGTCGACCCGAGTGTTCGATAAATTCGGATTGTCCCGCTAATAGAGCTTGCATCAGAGAAAAATGTAGAGATCCTTGTCCAGGATCGTGTGGCCTTTTGGCGCGTTGTTCGGTGATTAATCATACGCCATCCTGTGTATGTCCTGAAGGATATACCGGTGATCCTTTCGTCAGTTGCAACGTCTTACCTCAGATACCTCGTAAGAACTTGAGTTTCCGTTATGTTATTATCGTAGCAATATGTATTATTCTAAGTCGCTGCAATTTGACCTGTGCATATTTCAGTACCTCCCCCCGACCGATGCAACCCGTCACCGTGCGGTCAGAACGCTCAATGCAACAACGGAGTTTGCACATGCATACCCGAATACTTTGGAGACCCGTATGCCGGCTGTCGACCGGAATGTGTGATTAACACCGATTGTCCTCGCGATAGGGCATGCATGCTCCATAAATGTCGTGATCCGTGCGCCGGAACATGCGGCGTTAACGCGGAATGCATCGTTGTTAATCACTTGCCTATGTGCAGCTGTCCAAGAAATATGACCGGTAGCGCATTTGTTTCGTGTACACCTCTTCAAGGTTCGTATGACTCTTGAGTGCGAAAGTATTCGCTTCGAGAATATTTCCCGATATATAAACGCGGAATAATTATCATTAAATAGATTCGATCATCGTGGAACAACCATGCAGTCCATCCCCATGTGGTCCAAATAGCCACTGTCGTGCGTCAAATGGCCAGGCGATTTGCGCGTGCATCGCCGGATTTAGAGGCGCCCCACCATCCTGTAGACCGGAATGTCTCGTAAGCACCGATTGCGCTCGCAACAGAGCCTGCAGCAATCAAAAGTGCATCGATCCGTGCCTCGGTGCATGTGGATTAACCGCGCAATGTACCGTCGTGAATCACAATCCCATATGCAGCTGCCCGCCTTTGTACACGGGAGATCCATTCGTTCAATGCGTTCGGCAACGTAAGGATTTCACGCACATAACTGGAGATTTAAATATTATATTATGCCAAAAAACAAGCGTAACCACCTTGTAAATTGCAGCGGAAGAACCACAGCCACCGATAGATCCCTGTCAACCTTCACCTTGTGGCCCGAACGCGATATGTCGAATTCTCAATGGCGCCCCATCGTGCTCGTGCTCGCCTCAGTTTATCGGCACTCCGCCCAGATGTAGACCGGAATGTATCAGTAACAGCGAATGCCCCAGTCAGCAAGCTTGCATTAATCAGAAATGCCGTGATCCTTGCCCGGGATCGTGCGGTAGAAATGCTGAATGTAGAACTGTCAGTCATACCCCGATGTGCGTTTGCGCCGGTGACTTTACCGGTGATCCATTCATCCAGTGTAATCCCCGGCCGAGTAAGTTTCGAAGAAATGTAGCAATGATCGCGGAACATGTTTAATTTTTTATCGTAAATTGCGTTGAATGCACATCCTTGACAGTCATTGTTGAACAATCTATGAACCTCCTCTATTCTAGTCGACACACCGCTTGTTCCACTAAATCCGTGCCAACCGTCGCCATGTGGTGCGAATGCTATGTGCCGTGAAATTTCTGGCTCGGCCTCCTGCACTTGCCTACCCGATTTTTACGGAAATCCGTACGAGGGTTGTAGACCTGAGTGCGTAATTAACTCCGACTGTACCTCCAATCGAGCTTGCATAAGGAATAGATGTCAAGACCCTTGCCCAGGAACATGTGGTGTCAATGCGATTTGCGAAGTCATCAATCACATACCGGCATGCAGCTGTCAACTGAGATATACCGGAGACCCATTCAGATACTGCGAGCTTATGCAAGAAACTCGTAAGTGGATTCAAGCACCTGTCCGTCATTATTAATTGTTTATGGAAACATCATCTCACTTTTTGATCGATCTTGTATAGCTCCTGTAGGCGACCCTTGTCAGCCATCACCGTGCGGTCCGAATAGTCGATGCCTCAATGTAAACGGAAAAGCCAGCTGTTCGTGTCTCCCCACCTACCAAGGAACTCCTCCCGACTGCAGACCCGAGTGTATCGTTAGCACAGAATGCCCTATGAATCGCGCGTGTGTCAATCAGAAATGCGTTGATCCGTGTCCAGGTGTATGTGGTATCAACGCAAAGTGCGACACCCTGTCCCACAGCCCATTCTGCAGTTGCGGACCCGGTCAGATTGGAGATCCCTTCGTCAAGTGTTTCGACATGCCCTGTAAGTCCCAGAAAAAGTTCATCGCGAGAATATTGCGTCGCTGAAAGCGGTCCTACGTACGGAAATTGTTATTCAATTTTATTCCAGTAATGCCTACACCAACGCTACAAGTAAATCCCTGCGTCCCATCGTCCTGCGGCCCGTTCTCCACGTGTCAAGACAGAGGAGGCTATCCGTCTTGCACGTGCATGCCCAATTACATTGGCTCGCCACCTTACTGCCGCGCCGAATGTACAATCAACTCTGATTGCACCAGCAATAAAGCCTGCATCAGAGAAAAATGCGGAGACCCCTGTCCTGGATCTTGCGGTTTTAATGCCTTATGCACTGTAATCAACCATACCCCGGCTTGCACGTGTCCCGATGGATACACGGGTGATCCCTTCAACAATTGTTACCTGGCGCCCATGCGTAAGAACTTTCGTCATATTATTGCTCACATACGTGTTTTTTTTTTTACATAAATTAATAATACAAAACAATCATCGTTAAACTCACACTTGCATCTTTCGATACAGAAATTCCTACCGTAACGTCAGACCCATGTAACCCGTCGCCATGCGGGCTCAATGCCGAGTGTCGTAACGGAATCTGCACTTGCGTACCTGAATATCGTGGCGATCCGTATCGAGAATGTCGGCCGGAGTGCGTGCAGAATTCCGACTGTCCATTTAATAGAGCTTGCGCGAATAACAAGTGCGTGGATCCCTGCATTGGAATTTGCGGCCAGAATGCGGAATGCGCGGTTATCAATCATGTATCCACTTGTAGCTGCGTCAAGGATCACGAAGGCGATCCGTTTACCCTTTGTAGACGCGTGCAACGTGAGTCTCCTTTTTATTTGTTTATTTCCCGACAAAGCCCGGCCATTGGAAAGAAAAACCACTAATTTTACCACCTTACATCTCGATAGCACGCGTCAAACCTTGCGAGCCTTCCCCCTGCGGACCCAACAGCGTTTGCCGTGAATTCGGCAATCAAGCCTCCTGTTCTTGCTTACCTGGTTACTTCGGAATCCCGCCAAGCTGCAGACCCGAGTGTCTCGTTAGCACCGATTGCGAACAGAGCAAGGCTTGCGTGAACATGAAATGCCGCAATCCCTGTGAAAATGCTTGCGGCCAGAATGCTCTATGCGTTGTGCGAAATCATAATCCAATTTGCAGGTGCCCCGTTCAGCATTCCGGTGACCCGTTTGTCAACTGTTTCCCCATAAGTAAGTAACCGCCCAGGGTACTCCAAACAACGCAAACACCTAAGAGTCATTATTATAGACGTCTAAAACTTAACGTCTAGATCTATGAGAGGGGTGAGTCTTTTGGACGTCTTTTTGAATGGCTCTTCGATTGTGTTTGTTATCTTTGAGATGTCTTTTTCTTAACTTTGAAACAAATAATGAATTTATTTTTTTCATCGCCAGCAACACCGGACGTAGAACCCATCAAGGACCCGTGTTACCCCTCACCGTGTGGATTGAACTCGCAGTGCGCGGTATCCGCCGACAATACACCCTCCTGCTCCTGTTTGCCCACCTTCATAGGATCTCCACCCAATTGTAGACCCGAATGCCATGTAAACAGCGAATGTCCCACCAATCGAGCATGCATTAAGCAGAAATGTACCGACCCGTGCGTTGGATCGTGCGGATTCAATGCACTATGCCAAGTCACTTTGCACCAAGCTCGATGCACCTGTCCCGAACCATACACTGGAGACCCATTCACAGTTTGCTCTGAGATAATATGTAAGAAAATCCCCGCTTTACCCGTATCAACTGATCTGATGGATATTACTCTGGCATCTTGTTCAACATTTTGATCTCTAAAACTTGATTTCTTGATCTCTAGATCTTGTAAATATCATTATTGTACATAACTGATGTTTCTAAAAGAGCTGCACGTCAGTTTCTTTTGTCACATATTGATCTTGCATCATTTTTCAAATATTATACTCAACTACTTATCATATACCGATATGCGCAAAATATCTTTTTGAATATATGTATTATACAGTTGCACCTTTATATACATGTATAAAAGACATGTACGATGCATGAAACAAATGTACATTTATTTACTTTTATTTTTATATGCAAATATCTCTATATTTCTGGAAATGTTAATTTACGTCATAATGTATATTATAATATACACTGCATGCAAGAACTTTAAATCGTAGCTACGAATGTGGAATTAATTATGCGTTTTCTGCTGTTATTTTAGCAACTCCAGCACCGCCAGTACCGTCTAGACCGTGCAGTCCTTCACCGTGTGGAATAAACACGTATTGCCACGAGAGATTCGACACGGCCATTTGCGAGTGCGTACCGAACTACAGAGGCAATCCGTACCAAGGCTGTCAACCCGAGTGCCTAATGAATACCGATTGCCCGAAATCGCAAGCGTGCATAAAGACGAGATGTCAAGATCCTTGCCCTGGTACTTGCGGCGTTGGTGCGATCTGCACCGTATCCAATCACGTCCCCATTTGCTCGTGCCCGTTGCCGACGATCGGAGACGCTTTCACGCTATGCCAAGTCCCTGTGGAAGGTAACTTTGCTACCCATATCTCTAATTACGTCATTATTTAATCTTTTATCTCTCAACGTGAATCAAAGAAGTTGAATCTCGCACGTAAAAAGTTAAACAAAGCTACATTTCTTAAGCCTCTTTCTTTTCTCCTTATGACGAACGTTATTAATTGCTTATTTTTGTATTCAGATACTAAAGAAACAGATCCATGCTATCCATCACCGTGCGGACCGAATACTGTCTGCGAGAAAGTTGGCAATACAGCAATTTGTAAATGTTTGCCTGGGCTGCAAGGTGTTCCAACGAGTGTAACTGGTTGTCATCCGGAATGCGTTCTCAGCTCGGATTGTCCGGGCGACAAAGCTTGCATACAGAGTAAATGCAAAGATCCCTGCTCTCAGAATGTATGCGGCAGCAAGGCAGTGTGTAAGACGATCAATCACAGCCCACTTTGCAGCTGCCCGTCTCCGTTGATCGGCAATCCCTTCGAGGAATGTTATACAAAGATCGGTAAATATAGAAAAAAATTAGATCTGATATAAAATATATTATATTGTATTCTCTAATTATTTTCCTGTTGTTCAAAAACACGCGTTTTTGTTTTAGAAACCAATCCTTGCAGTCTATCGCCTTGCAATTATAACGGCGAGTGCAGAGTGAGAAATGGCGTCGCGATTTGCATCTATCCTGAGTGCGTTATTAACTCAGACTGTTCGCGTGATAAAGCCTGCTTCTCACAAAAATGCAGAGATCCCTGCATCGGCGCGTGCGGCATCAATTCTATCTGTCAGACCGTTAATCACAAACCAATTTGTTCCTGCCCCGTTGGATTCACGGGCAATGCGCGAGTTCAGTGCACAATTCCAGCCCTTGAAGGTACATTTGTATATAGAATATACTGACGACCTATATATTTTTTTGAAATTTCGACATGCAGTGTTATTATTGTAATTTATTATTTTGCAAATTTAAACTAATCTAACTGTATCTAACGAAATATTGATATATTAATATCTAAAGAAATTATTCTGCCTAACAAAGTATTAATATCTCTATATTTCTGGTAATAATATCTATCTATTAATATATCAAGAAATAATTAATTTTAAAGTTAAATTTATTAAGAGATATGTTTTTTTATTGTGTGCGACAAAATTTTAATTTTAATTATATCTTTGCAGAACCAATCCCAGAATGCACACAAAATTCCGAGTGCTCGAACGACAAGACTTGCTTCAATCAAAAGTGCGTTGACCCGTGTACTCTCGATTCTTGTGGCCTTAATAGTCGCTGCCATGTACAAATGCACAGAGCTATATGTGTCTGCAATGATGGCTACACGGGATATCCTCAGCAATATTGCCATCAACGTACGTTAAACAAATATATTTAACTGACATATTTCTTTCTGCTGTTATATAATCAACTTTATTAATATTTTCTTTTACAGTCGGTTGTCGCAGCGATAGCGAATGCTCATTGATTCAATCTTGTATTAATAACGAGTGTATTGATACCTGCCTGGTTACACAGTGCGGTGTTAACGCATTATGTACCGCAGACGGATATCATAAGACTCGATGTTATTGTCCTGATGGATATACGGGTAATCCTTACCAAATATGCGAAAGGCCTGAGTGCACTAGCGACAACGATTGTGCTTCATCTTTGGCCTGCCGCAACTTGAGATGCGTCAATCCTTGTAACTGTCCACCACCAGCATTGTGCAATGTCGCCAATCATCGACCAATATGTAAATGTCCACCTGGTTACGTGGGTAATCCTTATACTTCGTGTCTCATGGGTAAGAATCCTTTTTAATATCAGTTTTATAAAAAAGTTTGTAAAGCATACTAAAAGCATATTAAATTAGGAAGTAATATTTACTCTGTAAAATGAGAAATAATGATATAAAGAATTATATTATTAAATTATTGTTACTAAAGTTGAGAACTTACATTTATTATAACAAATAATAATTTAGATTAGACTGCTTTCTAAAAAAATTGTTAAAATGGCTAACACACACACAATTATGATTTGGTAATACTTATACAATATTTATTGCTATTCTAGATCTGTTAGAACCAGAGGTCGAATGTCAAGTCGACGCCGATTGTCCCAGCAAATTGGCATGTTTCAATGGTATTTGCAAAGATCCATGCGCAGAAACGAAACCATGTATTGTTAGTGCCAAATGTAGCGTCGTAGATACCTTACCGATGAGAACAATGATCTGCGAATGTCTACCGAACTTTGCTGGCGATGCCACCGTTGCTTGCGTGCCAGGTAGATTTTTATTCAAACAAATATATATATTAATATAGAAAAACATCTAAAATTAATAAAATAAATTACTTTTTTTTTAAATGAATAAAATGATTCAGTATATGACAAAAGCGTTGAATAATAACTGAATTGTGAATATTTTGTATATTTTTAGTGGACAAACAAATCGCAGCGATATGCGAGAGTGATTCGCAATGTACACCAGACATGGCCTGTCTAAATCGTCGGTGCATCAATCCGTGCACCGTTAATCCATGTGCAGCGAATGCAGAGTGTCACATTGAAAATCATCGCCGCATATGTCAGTGTCCTCACGGATATGTCGGCGATCCGTTCATAAATTGCTATGAAGGTACTGTATCGCATTCTTTTCCATTTTTTAAATGTAAGCGGGGTTGTGCGTTTCTTATATTTCTCTCCTTCCTCATTCACAGAAAATATAGTTCTTCCGGAATGCAGAGTAAACACCGAGTGCCCGTCTGACAAAGCGTGCATAAATCAACTATGCCAAGATCCGTGCTCCAGCAATCGCTGCGGTTTAAACGCGGAATGTATCACAATCAATCATCATCCTTCTTGTCACTGCCAACACGGTTTAGCCGGTGATCCGCAAGCTCAATGCTTCAGACGTAAGTTTCTTACAGATTTCTCATTTTTAAGAATTGTCATAGTTCTATAAAAAATTAATGTATGCATAAATCTTGAGATGAGATTAAAATAATCATTTTTCTTTAATTTGTTTTAAACAAAAAGTCTGATGCATATTAATGGCAAAATAAAGATCTCAAATGTATTGAAAACTAATCTAAAAGCTTCTTATTACTTTGGATATTGCACTCAATCGTTAACTTTCATTTCTCTCTCTTTCTTTTTTTTTTAGCGGAATGTAAAACAGACAACGATTGTCCTTATGACAAGACCTGCCGGAACGACAACTGCGTCACTCCGTGTCTCATCGGTGATGTTGTGTGCGGTCGGGGTGCGGAATGCACAGCGGTGTCTCACAGAGCTCAATGCATTTGTCCGCAAGGTACTCAAGGCGATCCACGCGTGGCCTGCATCTCCGCGATCTGCCATTATAATGAAGATTGCGCCGATCACGAGGCTTGCGATAGACTGAACAGAGTCTGTAGACCGGTTTGCGATGACGATGCATGTGGCGAAGCCGCGATTTGTGTCGCGCGCGATCATCAGCCGAAGTGCACGTGTCCTCCGGGTACTACCGGAAATCCGTATATAACATGCATTGGTATGTTGATTCTTAAAGTGTTATTTTATTGTTGATTTTATTGAAAAAGAGTTGAGTTTAAATTGATCGACAAAAAGTAGCGATGGTTTCAAGATATTCCGTGCAATACATATATATGTGATTCTTAGGTGAACCTTCCATTGAGCCGGAATGCACGCAGGACAGCGATTGCCCATTTGATTTGGCTTGCATTAACAACAAATGTCAAGACCCGTGCTTGTCCGCCGGTATGTGCACCAGTGAACAAGAGTGCAGAGTCCTGAACACGGCACCGCTTCGTACGATGATCTGCTTGTGTCCACCGAACACGATCACCGATGTTAACGGCCAGTGCAAGCAGATTGGTACGTGTCAGTCTTAAACTGCGTCGGCATCAGAAATAACATTTCGTGTAATGTTAGTCAATATCCTTTTTTACTATAACGGATGCGTTGCAGTGTTGGGCGACGTACAATGTCATCTTGATCAAGATTGCGCCAACCACGAGACGTGTCTGGACGGAAAATGCGTGGATGCCTGTTTGACAACTCAGTGCGGTTTTAACGCGCAATGTAAATCCACGTCACATACTGGTATCTGCTTCTGTTCTCAAGACTTCACCGGCAACGCTTACATAGAATGCATAAGAGGTAAATGCGAAAATTGAAATCACAAGTTGAAGCGTTTCTTGCAATTATTATTGTCTTTTATTTTCTTAGGACGTATGTGTCATTAATTATATAATTTTTGTTGCAGTTCCGCTCGCTCCATTGCCAGGACCTCGACCAGAATGCTACACGAATAGCGAATGTGCGCGCGATAGGCAATGCATAAATTCACTCTGCGTAAATCCGTGCGTTGCTGGCGATCCTTGCGGCAGGAGCTCTCTATGCCACGTCGACAATCATAATCCGATTTGCAAGTGTCCGATCGGCTACATCGGCGATCCCACGACCAAGTGCATACCACGTAAGGATCGTTATAATTAAAGATTATATTTTTCGAGAAATCGTGTTTTAAACAGTTTTTTTTCATATTACGATATTTTTGATCGCAGCGGAGATCACGCCCGAGTGCGTATCGAATAGCGAGTGTGCAGGAAACTATGCATGCGTCAATAGTGCGTGCATTAATCCCTGCAACTGCGGACCCAACGCCAAGTGTAACGTCGTAAATCATTATCCTTCTTGCGTGTGTCCACCGGGCTACTCTGGAAACCCTCAGTTAGGATGCTTCAAGCGTAAGTAGCATTTGTTCTATCTTCTTTGTACAGCGAGTGAAGTTATTAACGTTAACAGTACACTGTTAAAATTGTAGTCAAATTATACTCATTTTGAGTTATTTAAATCATTCCTATATAGATTGCCACTGCTCCTGCTCAATATGTCATTAATTTAACTAAACCAATAAGGTTAAAATAATACTGTTTTGTGTTAAAATAATAAATTTTGACACACATGGTAATTAAAAATAATAAAATGTTATTTAATTCAAAGTATTGGTTTAAATTTCGTCTTTTAATATTTAACAGTGTATATTTTATATCACAAGAATTTCTCAATTTTTAACGCATTTCTAATTGCGATTGTCTATTTCAGTTGACTGCGAATCTGACAGCGAGTGCGACTACGCGGCTACCTGCTACAACGGCCAATGTGTGAACCCTTGCATCTTGGACAACAAATGTGCCATCAACGCAGAATGCTACGGCAAGAATCATCGATCGGCTTGTCGTTGCGGTCCAGGTTATTACGGCAATCCGCAGGCTCATTGCCAGAGAGTCGAATGTAACACTGACCACGATTGTCCCAATAATCTGGCTTGTAACGATGGCCGGTGCATAAATCCGTGCGCCGAGAATTCGCTCTGCGCGCAAAATGCCGTTTGCTACGTCCAGGATCACGTTGCGTCCTGCCGTTGCCCTGAAAACATTCCGCTGGGCAATCCGTTCTCCTATTGCGAGCGACATGCCGTAGAGGAATTCGAGCCGGAGTGCAGAGTTGACATCGACTGTTCGGATAAGTTGGTGTGCATCCGGGAAAAGTGTATCGATCCTTGCCCGGTCATCAAGCCGTGTCTTGAGAACGCTCGTTGCGACGTTCTCGATACGGTTCCTGTAAGGACTATGATTTGCACTTGCCCGGAGGGTTGGATCACCGACGTCGACGGTGTATGCAGGCCAAGTAAGCGGAGCTAGATACCATTTGAATTTCAGAAATAATATAAATGTTTGAAAATAATCCATAATTCATAATTTATTCCAATTTTATAGTACAATTGACGGTCATTGGAACGTGCACGACGAACGACGATTGCAGCGATCGCGAGGCGTGCATCAACAGGCAATGTCGCAACCCATGTAACTGCGGTACCAACGCCGCTTGCTACGTGAGGAACCACAAGCCGATCTGCTCGTGCGAGCAGGGCTATCAAGGCAATCCTGAAATCGCCTGTCACTCCGTCGAGTGTCGGCACGACAGCCAGTGCACGCTCGACAAGATCTGCGAGAATAACAATTGTGTGAACCCGTGCCTGGTCAAGGACCCATGCGGCACCAATGCCGAGTGCTTCCCGAACAACCACGTGGCTGACTGCCGCTGCCGCAAGGGCTATCACGGCAATCCTCTGGATCGCTGCCGCGTGATCGGCTGCTACAGCAACGGCGATTGTCCGGGTGATCACTCGTGCATCAATATGCAGTGCATCGATCCCTGCATCCATGACAATCCCTGCTCGCCTCGCGCGGAATGCAGGGTCCTGAACCACCTGCCGATATGCCGCTGCCCGTCGGGCTTCACCGGAAACCCGTACGTCAACTGCCAGCCGGAAGTCAGGCCCGAGTGCAGGGAAGACAGTGACTGTCCGGACTCACTCGCCTGTCTGAGCAACAAGTGTCAGATCCCATGTCCGATTATACAACCGTGCACCGAACCGTCCGAGTGTCGTGTCCTGCCGACGCATCCGATACGCACCATGGTATGCGTGTGTCCTAGCGGGTACGTCAGCAGCGGCAGCGGCACTTGCCGGGCCACCACGCCGATCCTGAAGGTCGAGTGCACCAAGGACGACGACTGTCCCTCGGAACGGTCCTGCGTGAACGCGATCTGCAGGGATCCTTGCGCGTGCGGGCCCAATGCGGTTTGCAATGTCATCAATCACAAGCCGATATGCTCATGCACGCTGGGATACGACGGAAATCCTGATATTCTTTGTACAAGAGGTAAGTTTCCGCTTAGAGAGAGAGATCCATTTCCTTTGGCTTAAGATACGTTAGTAAAACTTGCGAAAACCCTGATGGAAATATTTTACTGAAAATATATAATAAAAATGTATAATGAAATTTTATTGAAATGTATTTAAAATTCTCAAATGACTCTATTTCATTATTATTCCATCAGTATTTTAGTAAAAGTTCAGTTTTACTTAAATTCAATTTTCATGACACCTAATATTAAAAAAAAAATTTTATTACTTTTTAATAGTATAATTTAACTTTCCTTATATTTTACAGTATTACATTCAATAAAATTTTTCAATAACTTTCATTTCACTTTTCATCGATTTCATAGTATTTCCAGCAAAATATTTCCATCAGGAAGTCTTATATTTTAATTATAATTATATATCAATTATTGTGTAAAATAATGTTGTATTTTGATATTTAGTTGCAGGATGCAGAACGGACGGCGATTGCAGCGGTTCGCACGCGTGTGTCCAACGCAACTGCGTGCCGGCGTGCTCGCCGTTTTTGGCTTCCTGCGGCAAGAACGCGGTGTGCCACGGCATTAATCACAAGGCTATCTGCGAATGTTCACCTGGTTATGGTGGCAATCCGCGGGTCTCCTGCGTCCTACTAGGATGCAGATCTAATTCTGACTGCCCTACCAATAAGGCTTGCATCAACAATCGTTGTGAAAATCCTTGCGTACAGAATCCATGTACCGGCAATATGGACTGTAACGTTTACAATCACGTTGTGGAATGTGCTTGTCCGCCTGGCTACGTCGGCGATGTTAAATCAGGATGTACTAAAGGTAAAAAGGATGAAATCCGCTTTATCTTCATTCAAATCAATATATAATTGATCCTTCGATTTTAATCTCTTGTTCCTCTTATAGTTAAGGAGAAATGCAAGGCAGACAACGAATGCCCATCCCAGACCGCGTGTTTCAACAGACAATGCATCAATCCGTGCACTAAGATCGCACCGTGCGGCATTAACGCCGAATGTAAAGTCCTGGACACCAGTCCGATCAGAACAATGATATGCGAATGTCTCCCAGGATACCGTGGAAACGCGATTGTCCGCTGCGATCCAGTTCCAGCAGAAATATGCCCGCTCGGGAAGGGCCAGATTCGCGATGAATACGGCAATTGCATCTGTCCGCTTGGATTCGGTAAGGACGCGAACGACATTTGCATACCTTGTCGCAGACAGTCTAACATGGTGATAAACGAGGAAGGCTATTGCGTGTGCGACTTGGAAAAGGGCTTCAGCATAGACGAATACGGTCGCTGCGTGTGCCCGACGCGATACGGATACGGAATAGACACACACGGATATTGCAGACAGAGTAAGCCGGCCGTTTAATTTCATATATCGATCAAGGGATGTTTCCCCTTTCACAAGATTTCGCTAATCTATCGTCGCGGTTAATTTCAGTTGGTATAATCGAATGCAGACGTAATGACGATTGCGCCGATGACAGATACTGCGATAAAGTCACTCATACTTGTCAAGATCCCTGTAAGAAGCAACAGTGTGGCGTACACGCGCTCTGCAACGCTACCAGACACCAAGCTGTTTGCATCTGCGTCAACGGTTACTTGGGCAATCCGTACACCCAATGCTGTACGTTGAAAATTTGCAAAAATAAGCATGTGATCTCGGTTATTAATTTGCAAATATTCATAAAATTTGATACATAAGCTTTCAGATAGGACAGGATATAGTTTGTTATTTTCAACCTATTTTTTTAATCAAGAACTGCGTTTTTAAATAATGACAAGTTAATCGGAGCAATGTTTGAGGAATCGTTTTAATGCATATCTTTTCCATTCTTCAGACGACAGAAAGGATGGCCGAACAGATTTCCCTAGACCGGAAATGGACGTGAGCTGCCTGTCGGATGGAGTACAGGTCGTAATACATCTGCAGGATCAAGACTTCGACGGGGTTTTGTACGTTAAAGGACGTAGCAAAGACGAACAGTGCAGACGAGTTGTCTCGATACCGGCCGAAACTGATCACAAAACAGAGACGTTCAAAGTTGCATTTGGCAATTGCGGACTTATACACGTGAATGTTAGTTGAATAGCATTGTATTTTAATTGTATCAATGGCTTATTGTATCACACACGAAAGATATTTACATTATTTTGATTCATCTTTCAGGGACAGGCTAGCTTCGTGCTTGTTATACAGAAACATCCGAAATTGATGACTTATAAAGCACAAGCTTATCATATTAAATGTATATATCAAACTGGAGAACAAAACGTTACCCTCGGCTTTAATGTATCCATGTTGACGACTGCTGGAACAATTGCTAACACCGGCCCACCACCTATATGCGTAATGAAAATAGTTGCACAGAATGGAAATGAAATTAATTCGGCCGAAATTGGGGATAATTTAATGCTCCAAGTGGAAGTTCAACCTTCAAGTAAGTATTGAATTTTACTTATAGCAACGCTTCGTATGTGCTTTTAATTACTATTCCAGCACTAGGCTACTTTTGCCGTAAGATACGATAAATAAACAATAATATATTGCAGCTATTTATGGTGGATTCGCACGAAATTGCGTCGCTAAAACTATGGAAGATAATTTGGAGAACGAGTACATCGTAACGGATGAGAATGGTTGCGCGACAGATCCCACGATATTCGGAGAATGGGAACAAAATCCCGAGACTCAATCGTTAATGGCTAGCTTTAACGCGTTCAAGTTCCCCAGCAGCGACAATATAAGATTCCAGTGCAATATACGCGTGTGCTTCGGACGCTGTCAACCTGTGAGTACTCGCTCGCGACTCATAATTTGCAAACATTTTATACGCATAAGTCAAAATGCAAATTCTGACGATAAAAATATTAATGTTTTTAAAATAAAAACGTAAATGTATCTTTTCTATTAACAGGTAAATTGTCGCGGTTATAACGCCTTCGGTCGTCGTCGCAGAGACGTTGATTCCGAGAATAATGACACATCTCTAAGTGTATCTGATGGATATGAAGGTCAACTTCGTGAAGAGATAACTATTCAATCGAACTTAATATTCACTCTGGAAAGGAGAGAGGAGAGGTATACAGCAGATCCAGCTGAAGGTAAGGCATAGTATGCGCAAAGAAATAACAACTTTCACGTATAACGAATAAAGAAAGTAATAATCATTCTTGCTTCTTTTGCTACATTTCAGCTCCTTCAGCCCAAAGAGTGGAAGATATCTGTGTTTCTATGGTCGGCTTTATCATAGCATTAATAATTACGGCGCTTTTAGCACTGGTTGCCGTAGCTATCGCTGTGTCATGCTGGCTTATGGCGTATCGACGTCAGCCAAAGACTGCTGGACCACTGCCACACCCACCAGAGTTCCCAAACCCCTTGTTCACTACTGAATCTGTAGCTGAACCTTCTCCTGACTATCACCTATCGTAAGTCCCTTAGAGTAATATTTTATAAATAACATAAATTTTTTATAATTCTCGTGGAATGCATCTCAGACCATTCGTCCTATTGGTCGGTTTTGTATTTCTGTATACAACTCCTCCAATGACTATCACTTCGTCTCTTTGTACTCTTCTTTTCAAGGGTTCAAACAATAAAAGTCACTGTTATACATTACGAGTCATGATATATACATACTATTTATGGTGATGGTTTGCTTCCATTATCTACTTGCAAGCAAAAACACGGGACTATCTCTCTTTCGTGCATTTTTCCTGTATTATTTTCTCTAGTCAGTGGAGGATTTGTTAAATATAATGCTGCGAATTTAATTCCTGTGTAAAGTCAACGAATTAGTCTAATATAGCTTTCTTATTGCGAAAATAGGTAATTGTACATTTTATCTAATAAAACGCTAACGAAATATTTTTAAAAATTTTGGTTATTTTTTTCCCCTTCTTCCTCCATTATAGTTTGTGACGTATAAATAAATACATATATAAAATATAATTTTGCAATTCATAAATTTATTTTAGTGACTTACTCTTTATAATACATATACATATATGTATAAGATGTTTCTTAATAATATCGTTAGATATAATTTACAACAAGCTTACAAAGCATTATTTTATTATATGAAATGAGAAAGCTAATAATATCAATATTTATAGAATTTTATATCGCGAAGTACATATTTTATACAATTTGTAACAAATGTAATGTTATATAAATAATTTTACATGTAATTTGAGTTTTATTGGCCGATATCTTAACTCTAACATTATTTGACAAATGCATTTGCTGTACGCTATTCATAAAAAGAATAGTGAAAATATTTTGTTGTATATTATCCTTTAATAACTGCGATTGGTCGTAATTTAATGCATTTCTTGGAAATTCCAGCTGCGTGGCAAGTATTAACAACATCTGTCACATTTTTATAGGACTCCGGTGCTTCCTCCATGACTAATTTCGGTGAAGCAACCCGAATAGATATGCCTAACTCTTCCAATTTGTTCAGAACTTGCATATAATCCAAGTTTCTACGTGATTTCGCTCTTGAGAGAGCACGACCCTGTAAAATATTTTTTTGTGTATAAGGGACTTTTACATCATTACTCATATAATATAAGCGTGTTACTTGTAGAATTCAAGTTATAAATTAAAGATGGATATATAAATGACATATAAAATTGATACAATCTATACTTACAGCACCATGGCATGTTGACCCAAACGTTTCTTTCATACCCTGTTCCGTACCAGTTAAAACATAACTGCATGTACCCATTGTACCACCGATTAAAACTGGTTGGCCTGTTAACTGATAATCTACAGGAATCAAAGGATGATGCGGTGGAAAGGCTCTTGTTGATCCCTTTAAACAAAATACATTTTTATTACGTATATATAAGAATTGTTTTATATTTACACATCAATATCAAAATTAAGTTATTATTCAGTTGTAATATATGTGTCATAAACGCTTACCTTTCTATGAACTAAAAGTGTCTTCTGTTTTCCTTCAACTATGTGTTCTTCTATTTTGGCAATATTATGAGACACATCATAAATGACATGCATATCTAAATCATCGGGAGATGAGTTGAATTGTTTTGCAAATGCCTGTCGGCTAAGGAATGTCATGGAACTCCTGTTAACCCACGCAAAATTGGCAGCAGCTGCCATCGCTTTTAAATAATCTTGACCTTCTTGAGATTTAATATGAGCACATGCAAGCTGCCTGTCATTGGTTTCAATATTGTCACGCTTCATAGCTTTTTCCATTTGTACAAGGGCATCTGAAATGTTATTTTATTATATAAAACATCATATAATTTTTACAATAGTTTCTAAAAAATTAAAGAGAAAGAAAATGAGAAAGAGAGAAAAACGAAAAAACGTATATAATTTATAACCTGTAGCAACTTGATGACCAAATCCTCTGCTGCCCGAATGGATCATAACACAAATTTGTCCTTTCTCTTCAATGCCCATTTTACATGCTGCCCACTTATCATAGATTTCATCTACAACTTGAATCTCCGCATAATGGTTCCCAGCTCCTAATGTACCTAACTAATATAAAACATATTTGTAATATATAAACATTATAAACAATACAATTTTCTAAACATTTGTTATGTCGTACTTGAGGAAGTCCGCGTTTCTTAGCTCTCATTGATACTTTTGATGGATCGGCATTAAGCATCCTTCCATATTCCTCACAATGTTCTTTGTCCTCAGCCCAAATGTAACCTAAGTGCATTTTGTATAAGTATTTTTATTTTATTAATACTTTTATTTCATCATAATGTATTTTCTCTCCTTACCTTCTCGCAAAGACCAATCCATTCCCATTTCTAAAGCTTCCTCTAAATCTCGTGCATTCATGGGTATAATTCCTTTAGATCCAACGCCAACTGGGATGTGATCAAACATGCTTTGCGCAAGTTGCTCCTATAGAAAAGTATTTTTTTTTATACTATTATATATATACACAATAGATATATACATTATTATTTTACAATACATAAAATTATATAAAAATAATTATTAAAAAGTACAAATAAAATCGATACTTTACTTTTACTGGTAAAACGTCTTTCTCGAATAAATTTGTACGTAATAGACGGACACCACAATTAATATCAAAGCCCACACCACCAGGCGATACAATTGATTTTGGATCATCCATGTCGAATGCTGCCATATTACCTGAATGTAATAATATTTATTTATTATTTTTTATTCATTTGACATAGTTAATTAACATAAAGAATCTTGGAGTTTACATAGAGTTTACAAATGTTTAAAAAATATTTCAGAAAACGAATGATATATTTTACCAATAGCAAAGCCATATCCAGAGTGTACATCTGGTAAACCGACAGATCTCCATACAATTCCAGGCAGAGCTGCCACATTAGCAATCTGTTTCATCCCAGGAAGGAAACCTCCGACTGCACCTGGTCGACATGCATTGCGCAACTCGTCAAACATCAAACGTTCCAACGTGTTGTTCACATAAAACACTCCTTCAACCTTGAATCACAATTTATTCATATGATAAAATAAGTGCGTAACTATAAATAATAGGGTAGCATTGAGCATTAAATTTTATAAAATGGCTGGCATCTATGTATACTTCTTAATGTCTATTTTGCTCCTACATTCTACATATACAATAGAAAAAAAGATTACCTTCATGTTAGGTTGAAAGCCTTTTTTGATTCTCCAACAACATTCATTTATTTTCTCCAAATATTTAAGCTCCTCCTGATATTGCCTTACCACCATTTTTCTACAAAAAAAAAAGAGAAAAAGAACACAGTTAGAATACAGATATAAAATGCATTAAAAATAAAAGACACATCAACATTATATATGAAGAAAAGATGTTTCTATGTGCAAGATTATACAATTCTGTTTCAAAAGAGTAAAGGATATCTCACAAAGTATTTTTATATTATTGATATCACTGTGTGTGCACGTGGAACAATACTTACCACAATTGTAAACAATTCTTCGGAAAATACGATATGATACAACGCCGGTCCTCTGACAGATTGACTGCTCCGCACTGCTCCGTAATAATAAGCAATAACATGCAACTGATGCAACGGGGGGTTTTAAGGTTATATTCAATGTTTTCATGCAAAAATTTGCAGTTCATCCAGGTCCATCTAGCGATGGTTGACTATAAACTATAAGCGCAACATGGATATATGGATAAAGCAGTTTGAGACAATTGTAATTATCGATCTATAATATGGAGCAGAGAGGAACCTGGAGAGCGGCCATCCCATTGACCGTACATAAAAAAATGCGTCAACTGACAATAGAAAAAAATATTTACAAAAAATAGGCACGAGGTTACAGAAGTATAACTTAAAAAATATATTAACCCTTCGCAGACCACGTGGGTCTTTCAACATTTAACCATCGCGTAGGTTCGGCATTTTAGCACATTGACGATTTATAAATTAAAACGCATACTTCGCAATATTTATATTCGGCCAAGACGTATCGCGCGGACAAGCGCGAGAGCAATAATGATCGTATTTTCGAAGATCACGAATATATCGCGGATATCTCCAAGAGTATAGTATTAATATGCCTAATCGCTTCCAGACATAAATAATTTTATCAATCAGCTGAGTTATTGTGGTAATCACTTCTTTTGCCACTTTTTTCTTTATTCGTTCTCACACACTTTCAAATAAAACACGTCATAAACAACATAATTTGATTGAATTATAACAATGATAGATAAACGGTATCACAAAGCTGATGCTGGGAAGTCAACAAATTGTAAAAAATTAAGGTGCGTTTAATAATTTGACCAAGGACTATATATCTAAATTATCTGGTATGTACATACGAAGTACATATATATAAACATTATGTGTTATTTTAATACGCATAATAACCAAAGAATTAAATATCATGATAAACACAATTTTTCTTATTTAATAACAAGTTCTTTGGCGTTAAATATTTTATTATTCTATTAAATATTATAGAAGAATTAAATTTTGTGCAATAAAAGAATTAAATTTTACAATGTAAACTCATGCTCAGTTTGCGCGACATCTGATATCACTACTTTTATAGCAAAAATAGATTAAAACAGCAATGTTTCGCACAATACTTATTTTGATAGGTACGAACACTTTAGCGCTCATTTCTTACCTTTTTAAAAAAGATGTTTATATGGTATCGAAATAAATGTAGTTTTTGACAATACTACGTTTGCGATTTAAGCAACTATAAGGATAACCTGGAAGTCAAAGACAGATTGTTTTACGAGTTATTTCTTAGACGATATTACTCAACAGAGATTAACATAGAAATTACATCCTGATGTTACAGATAACAATCAGATATGTCAGCCCCAATTAAAATATAATTATGAATAATAGCCTAGTCTTAGCCGAAAAAAATGCTGAGAATCGTAAGAGGGCTACAGCTACAGAAAGAGAGAGAGAGAGAGAGAGAGAGAGAGAGAGAGAGAGAGAAAAGTTAATTTATTTCAGTTTATAATTGATATTTTTAGAACATCCAAGATGACTAATAGACCGATCCTCGATGTATTAATATTAAATATCACCGATAATTACTGGACGTTATTTTAACTTCACGCTAGCATAACATTACGGCTTACAGAGCGGTGCTTTTATTAGGCTCTCCTTCTGCCAACCGCGTCTATTTATTATAGACACGGAATTATCTTCATCCGTTGTGGAAACAATACGCTGGTGAAAAAAAAACTCGAGGAAATGTGTCATACAAGAATGACAACGATTAACGATTCGCCGCGATTTGATCGACGCGTCGCGCGCTGGCTTCCGCGAAGAACGAGATTCGCTCGTAAGCGAATCGAGAGAAGCATCACGATTCGCGATTGACATTTTTCGCGGTTTGTATGGATGACTAGAACGAAGCTCGAGAAAAAGTGATCGGTCGTCGTGTCCGCAACGCAATTTGAAAATTTCTTTCCGCGGAACGCCAGGACAAACAACGCGACGAGACGCGATTTCTATCTCCTCGTGACGCGCGCTCGCTCGCTCACTCACACCTCCGGCGAAAACAAAGTTATTGTCCACGCACATGCGGTTAATTTACATAAGATATGCGTGCTTAGGCCGGGAGCTCAACATAAACTCGTCGCTACAATTGGACACGTTCGAGCGCGATGGCGATGACCGACATCGTTGTCATTTAGCTTGATTTCCATCGGCACAGTTTGCTTGGCCGGTGAGCGAACTCGGCTTCTTCGAGCAAGTCACGTTCCACGTTCGGATCTCCTCGCCTCGGACGTGACGACTCCAATCAGACTCGCAAAATTGCCTTTTAGGCTTGCGTATAGAGATTCGATTATCCCCTCGAAATGGTCGTTAATCACGATAAATTATTCCAGTTAATCGAACTAGATTTATTTTGGCATTAAAAATTTAAATACAAATTATCGAAGGTGTATACATAATAATTTTTCTACTACTTATATATTTTCGTAATAGTATCTAAAGTCGTTTTTTTTTCTTATCATACTTGTGAAATCTTCTATGGGATGTCACGAGTTCAAAACTTTCAACAGAGCGTTGCTCGCAAGGAAAATGCAGAAACATCTGATGCAAGTATCAGTATACTATAAATGACACGCCCCGAATGTTAACATTCACAGAAAAAGAGATAACAGATGTTAGTACCCATCATTGTTTCTGCGCGTTGTATATATATATACAACTTGTATATAACTTGTATTGTATATATTGTAGAAGAAAAGGAAAACTCGTATAGGTTAAACCATGATGATACTTGGTTCTAAAACATCCAAGAGTCATAATAGAATCAGAAATTTACCTTTATATTTATTGCACGATTATATCTTTAGGAACATTGTCGAGTTCATGTTTTCTTTACTCGAAGCGTCGCACAATAAATCAAGCCATATGTCAAACATGATACTCCTTGTTTTTCAATCGGCGATTCACTCGCAACCACGTTCGCAACCATTCGCAATCTTCCACAATCTTCGTAAACGTGATTCGTAGATAACCTCAAATTTATCTCCTACACACTGCTACATAACCGTAGGCAACTACTTAATTCCAAACAGCACCGATCGAGAGTGTGGCGATCGTGGCGCAGAGAGATATGCGCTGGTCTAGTGAGCTGGAGAACCGAGTTCAAATCCAGTTAGGACCAAGTTTTGTCAGATTTCGATCGCCACCTCTCGGAGATTGTAGATGGGGGATGGCAGGCAACCCACCGAGAGTATATTGCTGCTTAAATGTGGATTTTAAGTACATTAAACCAACAGTGTCTTCGGACACCTTTTTTTTATTTTTGATTTGAAAAAAATGCCTCAGAATAATATAATAATAATAATAATAATTCTTACATTTGTATTTTTGCAAAATTGAATACGACTACAAAATGCAATCAAATTTTTAAAATATTTTTTTATTTTTTTTACAATCTAAATTCTATTCATTATTTTACATATAAAAGTATCAAGGTATAGTCATCGAAAAGTGCGGAAAAAAAGGATTTTGCTATTTATGCTATAATTGCTAATTTATTCGTTAAATATGAGATAACTAACATTCTTTGCAGCAAGAGCTATTAATTTTGCAATAATAGAAAAACTTTTTGTTGCAATAACAAAAAAGTTTTGCTGAATCTCTTACTACTTAAGTAATAATTGCAAAAAGATTTTGCTACTATTGCTAAATTATAGCTCTTGCAGCAAAAAATGTTAGTTATCCCTATAGTAGCAAATCCTTTTTTTCTACGTGAATACTTTATGAGATATTAATATAAAATATTTCTCATATTTCATATTAAAAATATTTTGATAAAATTAAAAATATCTCAAGAAATTCTTAACAAGAGAGCTTTATTACAGTGTTTTGAAAACGACTTGAGATCTACAACTTCATCTCAAGGAAAAAATCAAGTTCTATCTAAGAAATTAGTCGCCTTTAAAATTTCTTGAAAACGACATTTACGATATGGCGCACATCGGAATTATATGTCCCTTTTCAAGCCAAATAATTTTTGACAAATAATTTTTTATTTCAGACATAAATAATTTTATTAATCAGCTGAGTTATTGTGGTATAATCACTTCTTTTACCACTTTTTTCTTTATCCGTTCTCACACATTTTCAAATAAAACACGTCATAAACAACATAATTTGATTTAATTATAACAATGATAGATGAACGGTATCGTAAAGCTGATGCTGGGAAGTCAATAAATTGTAAAAAATTAAGGCGCGTTTAATAAAATGACCAGGGACTATTATATCTAAATTATCTAGTATATACATACAAAGTACATATACATAAACATTATGTGTTATTTTAATACGCATAATAACCAAAGAATTAAATATCATGATAAACACAATTTTTCTTATTTAATAACAAGTTCTTTCGGCATTAAATATTTTATTATTCTATTAAATAAACGTAAAGTCGTTTTTTTTTGTCATACCGGTCAAATCTTCTACAAGACGTCACGAGTTTAGAACTTTCAACAGAGCGTCGCTCGCAAGAAAAATGCAGAAATATCTGATGCAAGTACCAGTATACATGGCAAACCCCGAATGTTGACATTCACAGAAAAAAAGATAAGATAACAGCTGTTAGTACCCGTCATTGTTTCTGCACGTTGCCATCTACGTCATTGTTACTAACTGTGGCGTGTGTGTACACGTGTACTGTGTACTGTAACGAATCGATATTATTTTTTTCTCTATAGTCGCAAAATCTGTTTCGCGCGCAAAAATCAATGCCATCGTGAACCATCGTCGACATCGCTCGACTCGCCGTTCGCCGCGAATCTGTCTCAGCTGTCAAAGTATTTCCGCGAAATACTTAGCGCGAAAGATAACAAAACGGAAGGAGAGAAAGAGGCACGAACGTCGGAAAATTTATACGGAGATAATGAATCGCAGAGAGGTACAAATGAGAGCGCAAGCGAAATTAATCGGCGAAGATGGGAGAGATCCCGCTTTTTTCGAAGTACATGTCACGCGACGTAGAGGAGCGTTTACTGGCCATGCGTGGAAATCAACAGGTTTCCAAGTCAAACCTATATATTTAAGACCGTCTTAAGCACAATCTTAAGATGTTATAAATCAATCACAGAGCATCTTAAGACATTATATACTCAAGACGGTCTTGAAATAAGAACGGACTACAAATAGTCTCAGAAGATTGATTTTCGTATTAATGGCATATAAGCGTTCAGCGTTTCGATATAATCGATCGATATTTCCGCCACTTTCATCGGTGCAATTGTCATTTTTTTTTATTACCCCGAGATTCCACAAGCCCGACGATAATCGACAAGAAAGGCAAGACTGATCTCCATTCCTTTTAATCGCGAGGCAAATGCAATCGCGATGATGCGACGACTACTCGAAGCTATATCGTGCCGAGGAGACTTATACTTTCTTTGAAACGTGACGCTTTTCATTATTTACCCGTGCTGTTTTACGAGCACGTACATACAATCGCGACGTATGCGTCTCGCCGCAGAGCACCGCGGCCAAAGACGACAATTTGCATAAACTTTATTTAGTCGATCTTTAGTCGGCCCGATTCTGATGTGTTTAACGCAACATTATTCGTCCGCAAGGAATGTGCGAGTGTGCGTTGAAGATGCTAAACAAAAAAATAAATTTTAAATGTTTGCTCGTAAAGATGAGATGTAATTTCCCTAATTATAAATAATAAAATTATTCAACGTTCTAATCGTTCCAGTTTGATATCGTTTCCCAAATCGCTTCTAATTTCGGCGAACGGACACGTGGCACGTACGTGTAACATTGACAACCTTTTTCTACACATAACGACGTTATGTCATTAAAGCCGTGCTCGCGATCGTCAATCGCTCTTACGGTACGTGCCCGGGAAGTAAAATGTTTCGCGGTACTGAGCAAATAGCGTTTAGGCTGTTTAACTTCTACTCGTAAATAAGATTACATTCAACTGACTACGGATCGTATTGTCGGGAGACAACTACTTAATTCCAAAGAGCACCGATCGAGAGTGTGGCGATCGTGGCGCAGAGAGATGTGCGCTGGTCTAGTGAGACGGAGAACCGAGTTCAAATCCGGTTAGGACCAAGACGGTTTTTGGTCAGATTTCGATCGCCACCTCTCGGAATTGTAGATGGGGATGGCAACCCACCGAGAGTATTGCTGCTGCTTGCCCAGCTCTCTATATATTTAGAGAGGGTCCCTAAGTTGGGGCAATGCAATGGTTGGTTGGTTGGTACAGAGTTTATTGGAAAAGCAGGGTGTCTCGCTGGGACCCGGACAACCCATTTTTTATTTTTGATTTGAAAAAAAATACCTCGGAATAATATAATAATAATAATAATAATTCTTACATTTGTATTTTTGCAAAATTGAATACGACTACAAAATGCAATCAAATTTTTAAAATATTTTTTTATTTTTTTTTACAATCTAAATTCTATTTATTATTTTACATATAAAAGTATCAAGGTATAGTCATCGAAAAGTGCGGAAAAAAAGAATTTTGCTATTTATGCTATAATTGCTAATCTATTCGTTAAATATGAGAGCTAACATTCTTTGCAGCAAGAGCTATTAATTTTGCAATAGCAAAACTTTTTGTTGCAATCTTTATTATGCCTGAGTCTTACAACGACTATCTGTTACGTGATGTTACGTCATTGAACACAAATAAATATTTTAATAGAATTCAGGTTGAAAGGAGAAACAAGTTACTAATTTTATATTTACATGCCTAGAAAAACACTTTTGATAGTACAATCATGTATTTATTTATTTATTTTTGTCAAATATTTAAGCAGTTAAACAATACATATATTTTTAATATTTAGTCAAATCTCTTTCGGCGGTTAAAATAAATATTACGTAATTAGATGTTACTTATCAATATTACTATACACTGTTGAGTTATAGGTACTGCTATAAAATACGGACGATGTGTTAGTATACGCATTTTCAACGTTTGTGTAATCCAGAATTAATAAGTTATCTTATATGTTATACACAATTTTTTCTTATTACTGTATAAATTATGTATTATTTCATTGCTTTTATTATGTATTAGATTTTAGCATAGATTAAATTGTTTAAAATTGTAGAAATTGTATTAAAAAGTGTGTGTGTGAAAAAAGAAAACTAAAGCTTATATCCAAGGAAATGAGAATCGTTGATTGGAATCGGCGGGGTGGTGGAAGGCCTCTACAAGTTGGCCCATTTTTATCGGACAGAATTTTAGCTAAAATTGAAAATGTAATTTAATTTTATTTAAAAAATTCAAGCTAAGTTTAGCCAAAGTACATTCAATTGCAACGATGTTCTGTAAAAACGGGTCCTCTTTTGTAAGTATAAAGTTTTATAAAATACACAGTAATACAAAATAAATAATATTAACGAGTTGGTAACATATAATATAATATAAATTATTATAAATTAATGAAAGAGATGCCCCGGAAAAAAGGGAAGCATTCATTATTCATTCATTTTCATTATTTTCTGTCTTTATATTTTCAGCCTTTATAAAATTATCATTCGTCAAAGAAATAAGATAAAGCAGATTCAAGAGGAGAAAAAATTATGAAAAATGATTACAAAAAATATATTGACAAGATAACAGAAGGAATGACATAATATATATATATATATATATAATATATATATATATATATATATATAATGGATAGAAGAACAGATAAATAGAAATCGAACAAGAATAAAAAAAAATTTATCGAAGAAGGATCAGAGGAAATAGGGAAAAACAGCGATAGAAGAAAGAAAAATAAACAAATAAGATACAAGAAGCGTCAAGAAATGACTAACACCATCGACGATGGAAATTGCATAAAAAAAATTTATATACATATATATATAATATTTGCAAATGTAGCGCGGACGCGCACCAAAATGATGTTTTACCGACAGTGTCGGAAAATGAATGTGGCTACGTAGTATCAATTTCGAGAATGGATGTACTGGCGGTAGCGTACAGGGGGTTTCGACGGTCTGTTGTCCTACAAAAGAGTAAATACTCTAAAATAGATCAAAATGGCCAGCCGAGCTGCGACCGTCGTTCGCCAAGTGAAGCCGATTCTGTCCATTAATCGAGAAGATGCGCGCCGAAAAGTGCTCACGTTGTACAAAGCATGGATCCGTCAAGTACCAAGCTCATGTACGCAACTGTCATCGTCATATATCATAAATTGGAAACTTGTGCATTCTCAAACACGTTCACCTCTTTTTTGCAGTGTTAAGTTATGATATTCCAAAAACTGAAGCAGAATGTAAGAAGAAAATACGAGAGGAGTTCAAGCGTCACGCTCATCTGACTGATTTAAGAATTATAGACAGACAGATTATAAGGGTAAGAATAAAAATCTCTAATATAAAAACTGATCTTTATATAAAGCAATAACTTATTTAACTTTTGTTGTGTATATGTAATAATCAAGATACATATGTATAATATTACTGAAAAAATTTTATTTACATTTGAAATAAATATTGCATGCATGTGATTTATTACACGACAAAAATAATTGCCTTAGTAGTAGTACTGATTTAAGGAGGTTGGTTGCCGTCACATTGCGGGCAGGTGGCAGAGCAGAGAAAAAGTGTTTTCGTCGTGTGAAATAAATGAGTATTAGTAAATGAATATGTTGAATGCATTTAATTAGCTGTTTCTTAAAGTTTTAAATCGTTGTACAAGAAACCTCCTTCTTATCTTTCATAAATTTGAACTAAATCTGATTTTTATATTGATTTAAGCAACCAATCTCCTTAATAATTACATTTTACTTTTGATACAGAAGTTATGTATAATTTAACAGGGTCAAATGGAGTTGCAAGAGTTAGCTAACGTATGGAAAACTAAAGGAGGACTTATGCATTACTGGAAAGAAACTTGGGAAAAGAAGCCGACCGATTTCATGTCAAAATTTCTCAAGGGTCAAGATTAATTTACTCCGTCGTTAGTTCATGAGATGCATCGTAGAGATACACGATTGTCAATTTATAATTATGTATAATATGTAAATACAACGATTTCAGTTAATTAAGACAGCGATGGGTTTCTGTGTCATGAATAAATAACAGTAAAATACAATTTATTCGTCGGATCATTTCTCGTCCACATTATTATCATCCCCTAACAGTGAATCTGATGTTTCGTTTGGAGGATTATCGGTCCACATTCGTAGCCTAACTTATTAGCTGCTGGCTCACATCGATGTGAGAAATTATTACGTTACCATTCGAGGCCGATAAATCAGGCTACCACTATTATGACCAATGATTACACGCGCGGGTTTCATCAAAATTAATATTAAATTAATGTTAAATTAATATTAATATTAATGTATAACGAGAAGAATAATTCAGTAGTTTTCTCTTTTTACTTTAGTTTTTTACTAGTTTGATAAACTTTTTCTTATTCTTATATCTTATAGAAGGTAATGATTCTTTTAATTTACATTTTATCTTCACATTGATATATTATTATTTAGTTAAATACATTTGACAACATGATATATTACTTAAGCACCTTAACTGTAATCTAGTTTACTTCTCACAGCCATACGGACAATTTATTTCCTTCAATGAACAAGTATAGACATACAGATATTACAGATATACATGTGTGCTAATATACGTATTTTATATGTACATATATATATGTATATATATATATATATACACATACACATACACGTCTTATACATTCATGTGCTACATGTTTGATTTTATACGCGCGTGTTTATGTATAGTCGATATTGGAATGCTCGAGGAATTTTTCGTTTATTAGGTAACTTTTACAGATTTACTGCTATATAAATCTCAATATAATTATCATTATTTTCTCGATTCACGTAAAAATAAAATTATAAAAGTTACCTACAAAATAAAAGTATCAACCATTCTGACATCGACTACACGCGATGCCTACTTCCTTTTTCATACTAACGGAATGAATTGTCAGATGAATTAAGTGTCCGTGGTGTACTTTGGTCATGATTTTTATAAAATAGTTTGCTGTTATACATTCGAATTAAAAATCTTAACAAAGAGAAAAGAACAGAAGAGCAGTCCTGTATCACGTAAAAGTTGTTTTTACGTCGCCTCAATGCACACACTTAATAGAAGAATTAAAAAATACCTAAATAATATTAAAAATATATACAGTGTAGTCGGTAACTTTCATATACATAAATTGCACATATCTAAGCTAGAAAAAAAGATGGCAACAATAAATCATGCTTATGATTCGTAAATGTAATGTTTCGAATAGTTTATGCATCTGACAGCGCATAGTTTTACACGTGATTCTATTTCTCGCGATTCTATTACTTAGTACGTTACATAGAAAAAAAAATTTTTTCTTGAATGCGAAACTAGACCACACTTTCGCGTTCATTTTGCTTATCATACCCTGTTAATATTCCTTTTCTTGAAGAAACATTGCTGTTGCGCAATCCATTCCCGTTGAACATCTGTATAATAGTTGAAACAGGCGGAATTTCTAACAATTTTCGCGGGGAGGATTTTTTATCAGGTACATTGTCCATGCTAGATGCAGATACCACCTGATCCAGCGAGTGCGAGCGCGAACGCTTCCCTTGTATTTCTCTCTTGTCCACATTGTCATCCCCTAACAGTGGATCTGCTTCATTCGGGGGATTATCGGTGTGAGACATTATTATGTTACCATTCGAATAGTTGTTATTCAGCAATTTTTCAGCACAATCTGCTTTTGAACTGATCCGCTCGTTCTCCTTCCAGAAACGGTTCGGTGAATAGAACCGTTTGTTAGACAATGTATCAACGGGAAGCGGATCAAGTGAACGGGATCCATGTATAACATAAATCTGGAATGGATTGTCGCTCGATGACGACGAGGATGCATTGGTAGATAATGCACGCGCGTTTTTTCTAAGTTTTGGCCTTGTGCTTATAAACAAGTCATCGACTGACTTGATATCTAAGCGCGTTTGCTCTTCTTCTTCCTGAATTGAAACATTATCAAGTGTGGTCTTTGAGACGCTTTCAGTCAGAGATAGGGGAGATCTTTCGAGCTTGCGAGCGTGCAACGATCGCGGAACTGGACTAGATCCACCACACTGCGAAGAAGCGTCGTCTGCTGTTGGATATGGTACATATGATTGCCTGCGACTACCGGCACCTAATCCATCTAGTAGCGATGCGTATCGTGAGTCTGGATTTAGCTTCGGGCTTTTCCGCGGTCTGCAGAACAGCGGTGGAAGATCTTCATCCCCGTTACAGTTCTGTAGAAACATGAAAATTAAATTCATTAGAGAAAAAGTCACTTGAGAATGAATAATAAAAGAATACCTTTTTCTTAGCGATAACTTTAATGTAGATTCAGAATTTGACAGGTACACTAATTAATTTTTAAGAATATTTAAATAACGTATTTTCTTTTAATATAAAATAGATTTAATACTTTATTCTTGACATTAATTTACGGTTTAATATTAAACTTTTAAGAGTTTACTAAAAGCCATTGCACGTAACAATGTTTTAGTTGTAATCGTAAGGCTGTAAGAAAATAGACCCATCACGGGCGATTATTCTTCTCGCGCTTGAAGAATCATCGAGTGTGCGTGGTCTATTTTCTTACGGCCTTATGATTAAAACTAAATCTTTGTTACGTGCAATGGCCTTAAGACAAGATCTTTAAATTCTGGAGAATCCTTATTACATTCTTATTACATCACACATACTTTTATATAATTCATATACTCTACATTTTTATTACAAACCTCTATATTCTTTCTGTGCGTCACAGTAGCTCCCGTGAGCCAGTAAGTCTTCACTGTTCCTTTTCCTTTCATTTCAACGAAGCCTCGATCTTCGATCTTATAACCTCCGATCTTATCTAATGCCTCTTTGCATTGCTTGCTGATGTGGATTCGCAACGGTTCTCCGGTAGACTCCATACGAGAAGCAGTATTGACGGTGTCTCCGAATAAACAATATCTAGGCATCGTCAAACCGACAACACCTGCTACTACAGGACCTGTAATTTTATATTCATGTTATCATTAAGTAGTGTATCAATGTGTATATGCATATGCACGCATATACACACGTACACATATACATATATTACATGTTCTTAAATGCATTTTCTCTTACCGGTATGAATGCCGATACGTAACTTCAGAGTTTCTTGAGGCCGATGAGGTATCGTATGATGCTTAACAGCATTAAGTAATTCCAGTGACATTGATGCTATTTGTCCAGCATGCTGATCGCCATTTCTTATTGGAAGACCGGAAACCTAAATAGAATATTGAGCACTAAGAAATTATTTTTTTTCTCGTAATTAATCACTTAGGTAAAAATACTACTTACGACCATGTATGCATCTCCGATCGTTTCTACTTTATACACTTCATATCCTCTGATTATACGGTCAAATAATGTATATAAATCATTTAAGAAATTTACAACCTGTCGTCACAATTATCGATTACATAAATGACATTTTCGTTTTACTAATTATAAGACGGTACGTAAAAATACATACCTGAAATGGTGTGCTTTCTGCTGACATTGCAGTAAAACCAACGATATCGCTAAAGTATATCGTAACTGAATCAAAAGCTTCCGGTTCTACCCCAATACCGTTTGTTAAACAATTCGCAACAGGTCTGAAACAAACAACACAATATTTTGTAAATGTATGTTCATATGCATTATCTGGAATTTTACGGCCACACTATTTCTTATTGAGGAGCACGTCATCTTGCGGAAACTTACTTGGGTAACATTCTGTGAAGCAGATCTTCAGTTTTCTTTTTTTCATCTAAGAGAAGTCCCGTGCGTTCGGTGACTAGATCTTCAAGGTTACTCGCGTACTTCTCCATCATATCCATCATTTGATCCATTATATTTCGATGCCATCCAGCTTTCATTTTCTTCAATCTGGTCCTTATCGTTTTGAAGTCTGGCCTAAATTCTGGACTTTCCGCCCAACAGTCCGTAATAGTGCTAACGACATAATCACAATTTGCTTTCGACTCGGAGAGTATGTTTAAGTTGGGCCTAAACGGCGGTTCACCATCTTCCGGGAATCTTTTCACTCGGTCTATGATATCTGTCACAAGTTATTTAATAATCATATTAATTTTTTTTCGTAATCTTCGAGTTAAATACCAATCAACGTATACAATCGTTACATTTTATTTGCGATATCCCTTTATTATATATACAGTTACATCCTTTAAAATTACCTTTGGGTTCTAAATTTATATTTCCATACGGTCCTTTGCGTCCAAGAATTTCATATAGAATAATGGCGAAAGAATAAATATCTCCTGCCTGAGTGCCTTTGATCGGAGCATGCGAGTTTCTTAATAACTCGGGGGCTTTCCAAAATAAGCCTGCAACGAGATGATTTGGTCAAAATAACGATTACAACAATGTGAAATATACAACTTGATAGAAATATCTACATACTTCGATAATACTGATGTTCACCGATGCTGTCAGATTCGGCACAGTGACGCATATCGTGAAGACCAAAATCCGACACTTGCAATATCCAACGTGAGGTCACGACACAATTTGACGATTTTAGATTACCGTGACAGACTAGTAGACAGGATTCATGGATATACAGCATACCCTACAGTAAAACCGTGTTAAAATTCGTAATATAGTTTTCACAACACCTCCACGGAAAGTTCGACTTTCCATGCCTGTAGAGAGGGGCGAAAGTGACCAATTTTACGCCAGGACGGCATTAGCGGGACGAAAGTAACCACTTTCCTCCCTAGGGCGGAAAGTGATCACTTTCGTCCCGCTATGCCGTCCTCGCATGAAATGGCCACTCTCGCCTCTCTCTAGGCATGGAGGTCGAACTTTCCGTAAAAATATTGTGAAAAATATCGTGTGCACCTCCTGGTGCACAATATACTATTAATTTTTTCTATAAATTTAATTTTAAGAACACTTACTTTAATGAGATCGTGAATTAACGATGCAATAAACATATCATCTAATTTTATATCTTCATTTTCAATGATGTCCTGAAAAATGTATGACGCATATTTATACAAAAATATTCAATTCTCTTTTTCACTCTTTTTTTACTATCTTACTTGAACTTTAAAAAAAGCGAATACGTTTACGCTATGTATACAACTTTTATTTATGCACGCTAATATACTGTTCTTGTACATAATACACTATACTATGAATAATAGCAGGATGTCACCGTGATTACGCTATGACGTACATAAAGACTTCCTTTGGCACAATAGTCGGTAATTAACAATATCCTCATCGGCTCCACGCAGGCTCCGATGAAAGAGTTGAGATTACCATGTCTAATTTCACGGAGAATGCGCATCTCCTTCATAACGTCCCGTGAAATGTCTTTTTTCTTTGAGAATTTCAGTTCCTTTATCCGTACCATTACACCGTGATAATGTCCAGTTTGCGCAAACACTTGGCCGCCGCATCTTGACTCGTAGGACATTGCACTAACTAAACTTAACTGTAATCGAAATATGTTTATTTCTTACATCACGCATCAAGAGGTCGACATACGAATGAGAGCACTTTGCCGTCTATCTCAATTACGATAACACACGCGCTATTTACCTTGCTAGGGGAGGACATCATATTATCAAGATGGGGATAACCGTGTATCTCGTTCGGATCAATCTTCCAAAGTAATCCTTCTATCTCTTGTTCTATCTTCCATCTTCGATATATGCTCATAGTGATTACTGTGGCGCAAAACAGCAAAACAGCCAGTGCTGCAGCGACGATGATACTGCGGAGATGCGTGTCATCCTTTGGACAGTGTTCATTGAGAAAACCGCAACCAGGTTCTGCTTCTGGCTTATTTTTACCGGGCCAATCCATAGCGCCTGGCCAAGACTTGTATACCTGTATCATGCAATTATATCGTATGCTCAATTATTATTATAGCGTTTTCAATTTTTACAATCTTATTATTTAAATATAGAATAACCGTCTCTTCTATCTTCGACCTGTTGTAAAAATTTGTCGAACGCTACAAATAACTCACTCACTAGAAGAGTGTCAGCCTGCTGGAATTGGCCTACAGGCATCATCTGGTAGTCACAAGAGAAATTATGGACACGGAACGGTTCTTTTTTCAGAGCAAGCACTGAAAAGTTTCCCTCCGAGTCTCCAGATGGATCCAATTTAATGGTTGCCCCACTCACACCTAGCAACAATAAAGATAAATTTTAATAAAGATATATTTAGACAATCTTCAATGTTTACAAACGCAAGAAAGAGGCCCACTTATAAGAAATTATATCGATTCATCTTCGATCTAATTTCTTTCCTCTCATTTATCATCAATGGTCGAGTATTATATCATGTGAACCACTTGAGATTAATCCTATTAATACAGATTATATCTATCTGATGTTATTACACGTACTTTGATATGTACGATTCTTGAGAACCATCTCGGTTATAAGAGTGCCGTTTTTGGCCAGTTCCTCGACAGAGACATCCGGGTAATCTCGTATTAGCTGATCCAAGGCTCTCGCGTATAGCTTGACAGAATCGTAGAGATACGCAGCGTAAATGGACACGTACTGAAACGGAGATTAAGTGTGTAATAAAGATTGCGCGGGGCATGAGCGTTTACAATTGATCTAGCATCTAAAAATACCTTTTCATACTTTCTCAGAAGCTCGGGAACTAGGAAGTTGAAGGGCTCTATGCTATTGTAGTCTCGGACCTTCTTAGTAAAGTCTTCGTAATTTTGCGTCGGCGGTGTCGACACGACGACCATCAGTGAACGTGCTCTCTTCAGAAAATCCTTCGGCTCGAGACAATTCTTCAGATTATCGAAATGCTCCGGTTCTGTACCAATAATAATAACAAATTACTGTTATGAAATCAAAATAGACATTAGTTGTTACGTAAAATTTTTGAATAACAAATCTTTAAGATTACCGCAAAAAATGGATCTAGCTTTATATACTTAACTAAAAGATTAGTATTTAAATTAGTTTCGTAATATTATGCTTATACGTTATAAATAGTGCAAGATTGCGCAATCAGCTTATCGCCGCTACTGTTCACGACATAAACGTGACGTTTGATAAGATTCGCTAGATTCACTCACTCCACAAGTACTTCTGTGCTTCACGTTGGGAATACGTCATCATGTCCACGTGTATTACCATGTACTCCCCGTTATCTAGGAGCCTTTGGCCTTGCATTGAATTCATCATATCTATTAGTGACATTGGCGTGCCCAGGAAGATGTAAACTGAAATAATAAACGTAAATATGTCATGAATGGAATAAAAAGTTATGGTAATTGTTATGTAACTGTTATTTAAACAAAGTAGTTATTATAAAGACTGCTATACACACAGACAAAATCTGTAGTCTTTTCTTCAGTATATTTTTCTTTGTGTATATAAAAACACACAAGTTAAAAATAACTCTTGTCCAGGTTCTTTACTTCGTTTTAATCAATTAATATACATATATCCCAGTAAACACAATGTCTCTTAAAGACGTCATACGTCCCGATTTTGGACATGGCTGTCTGGGATGCGTGTTGTCTGGGATACGCTATAGACACAAGAGTATAGTTTTTAACTTGGAATCGATGAAATCGGATCCCAAGAGACGATCGCCGAATCGTCAGAGCCGGAATTAAGATATTTAAATTTAATCGCGGCTTTTCGATCCACCGCGGTAAAAAAGCTTCGGCGATCGCCCCTCGCAAATCGGCGCAAAAGTAAAGAAATGTAAACTAACTGCGGGTCATATTTTTCGTCTCCTGTATAAGTTGGAACCATACGCTGACTTGACAGCACGGCAGTCTGTCCTCGCAGCACGTGTGCCGGTCCTCGACGGTCTTGTAATGGTTCACGGTGAGATTGTTCTTAGTCGCCTGTTCCTGAAGCGAACGAGCGACCGTCGACCAGGCGCGCTCGGTCACGATCGTGAATTTGTTCCATCCGTAGTGTAGCAGCAGGGTGATCACCGACTTAGTTACCTGCGTGTCCGGCGGCTCAGTCCTCACGAAGGTCTTCACCTTCGAGGCCTTGTAGTCCGAGCATTTCTGCAACCAAAGCAAGATTGTCGTGTTAACTTCCTTTTTTTCCCCCTCTCTTTCGCTGTTATAATTCTGTCTTGGGAGTCTTATTTTCAATTGACTCATTGAGCCTTTCTCGAACGGCTTGGAAGTATAAATCAGTTCAAATTTATCGGATCACGAAC